AGATTTTCTAATGTTGAACCATCCCTGCATTCCTGGAATGAAGCCTACTTGATCATGGTGGATGATTTTTCTGATGTGTTCTTGAATCCGGTTTGCAAGTATTTTATTGAGTATTTTTGCATCAATGTTCATGAGGGAAATTGGTCTATAGTTCTCTTTCTTAGTTGTGTCTTTGTGTGGCTTGGGTATCAAGGTAATTGTAGCCTCGTAGAAAGAGTTTGGCAGTGAGCCTCCTGCTTCTATAGTGTGGAATACTTTGACGAGTATTGGAATGAGCTCTTCTTTGAATTTCTGGTAGAATTCTGCACTGAAGCCATCTGGGCCTGGGCTTTTTTTGTTTGGGAGACTTTTGATGACTGCTTCTATTTCATTAGGGGTTATAGGTCTGTTTAGATTATTTATCTGTTCTTGATTTAGTTTTGGCAAGTGATATCTATCCAGGAAATTGTCCATTTCCTTTAAATTTTCAAATTTTGTGGAGTACAGATTTTCAAAGTATGCCCTGATGATTCTCTTGATTTCCTCAGAGTCCGTTGTTATGTCCCCTTTCTCATCCCTGATTTTGTTAATTAGCATGTTCTCTCTCTGTCTTTTGGTTAGTTTGGACAGAGGTTTGTCTATTTTGTTGATTTTCTCAAAGAACCAACTCTTTGTTTCATTGATTCTTCTCAATGTTTTCCTGGTTTCTACTTGATTGATTTCAGCCCTCAATTTGATTATTTCCTGGCGTCTGCTCCTCCTGGGGGAGTTTGCTTCTTTTTGTTCTAGAACATTCAGCTGTGCTATTAATTCTCTAGTATGACTGTTCTCCAGTTTTTTCATGTGGGCACTTAGTGCTATAAACTTTCCTCTCAGCACTGCTTTCAAAGTGTCCCATAAGTTTGTGTATGTTGTGTCTTCATTCTCATTGAAATCGAGGAAGTCTTTAATTTCTTTTTTTATTTGTTCCTTTACCCAGGGATGGTGCAATTGTGCATTGTTCAATCTCCATGAGTTTGTAGGGTTTCTGCGATTTGTGTTATTGTTGAATTCTAATGTTAATGCATGGTGGTCTGATAAGATGCAGGGGGTTATTCCAATTTTTTTGTATCTGTGGAGATTTGCTATGTTTCCTATTATGTGGTCAATTTTAGAGAAGGTTCCATGTGGTGCCGAGAAGAAGGTATATCCCTTTGTATTTGGGTGGAATGTTCTATAGATGTCTGTTAAACCCAGTTGGGTCATAACTTCTATTAATTCTTTTGTTTCTTTGTTAAGTTTCTGTCTGGAGGTCCTATCTAGCGGTGAGAGCGGAGTGTTGAAGTCTCCTACTATTAGTGTGTGAGATTTTATGTGCATTTTGAGCTTTAGTAATGTTTCTTTCACGAATGTAGGTGCCTTTGTATTTGGGGCGTAGATATTTAAAATCGAGACTTCGTCTTGATGTATTTTTCCTTTGATGAATATGAAGTGCCCTTCTTCATCTCTTTTGATTGATTTTAATTTGAAGTCTAATTTGTTAGATATTAGGATTGCTACGCCCGCTTGTTTCTTGGGGCCGTTTGATTGGAAGATCTTTTCCCAGCCCTTTACTCTGAGATAACGTCTGTCTTTGGTGTTGAGATGTGTTTCTTGTATGCAGCAGAAGGAAGGGTTCTGTCTTCGTATCCATTCTGCTAGTCTGTGTCTTTTTATAGGTGAGTTGAGGCCATTGACATTGAGGGATATTAATGACCATTGATTGGTGATCCTTGTTTGCACTTGATTTATTGTTAGTGAAGTTATTTTGTGTAGTTTCTCCTCCCTTTTTCTTTTAGTGTTTTGTAAAGTATGATTCTATATTGCCTGTGTCTTTGTGAATGTAGTTATCTTCCTTGGCTCTAGGTTTTCCTTCTAGCATTTTCTGTAGAGCTGGATTCATGGATACGTATTGTTTAAATCTGGCTTTGTCATGGAATATTTTGTTTTCTCCATCTATGGTAATTGAGAGCTTTGCTGGATATAGTAGTCTGGGCTGGCATCCTTGTTCCCTTAGCGTTTGTAGGACATCTGACCAGGATCTTCTGGCTTTCATCGTTTCCATTGAGAAGTCAGGTGTAATTCGGATAGGTCTGCCTTTGTATGTTACTTGGCCTTTTTCTTTAGCTGCTCTTAATATTTTCTCTTTGCTCTGTAGGTTTGATGTTTTGATTATTATATGGCGAGGTGACTTCTTCTTCTGGTCAAGCCTATTTGGTGTTCTGTAAGATTCTTGTACTTTCATAGGCATATCTTTCTTTAGGTTAGGGAAGTTTTCTTCTATGATTTTGTTGAATATGTTTTCTGTACCTTTAAGTTGAAGTTCTTCACCTTCTTCTATACCTATTATTCTCAGGTTTGGCTTCTTCACGGTGTCCCATATTTCCTGGATATTTTGTGTTAAGGATTTGTTGGTTTTGAGATTTTCTTTGGTTGACGATGCTATGTCCTCTAATGAGTCTTCAACACCTGAGATTCTCTCTTCTATCTCTTGTATTCTATTGGTGATGCTTGCATCTGTGATTCCAGACCGTTTACCGAGCTTTTCTATTTCCAGCATCCCTTCATTCTGTGTTTTCTTTATCGTTTCTATTTCAGCTTTCAATCCTTCAACTGTTTGAGCTGTTTCCTTAATTTTCTTGGTTGTTTTTTCTTGGTGCTCTTTAGATTCTTTGAGAGATTTGTTTATTTCTTGAATTTTTCCCCCATTTCATGGATTTTTTTGTTTGTTTTTTCTTCTATTTCTTTAAGGGATTTCCTCGTTTCTTCCTTGAGGCTCTCCATCATCTTCATGAAATAATTTTTAAGGTCTGTCTCCTCTTCTTCATCTATGTAGTGCTTTTCAGGTCTTGCTGGTGTTGGATCCCTGGATTCTGGTGGGGTCGTGTTGGTGTTTCTATTGCTGAGTGATCTCTTATTCTGTCTTCTTCCCATCTCTTCTTCCAGTGGGTGCTGGTGGGGGCTTTCTGTCTCCACTGGTCTCCTTCTTTACTGCAGCTGAAGCTGAAGCTGGCCTCGCTGGGGTTGGGGTCTTGGAGGGGCTGATCTCTTTCCTGTGTGGGTGGCTCTTCTGAAGCTGGGCTCGCTGGGTTGGGGTCTTGGAGGAGCTGATCTCTTTCCTGTGTGGGCGGCTCTTCTGGAAGCCGGGAGCGGCCCCGAAGATGGAGGGGGATGGGTGATGGGCAGGTGGTCCCAGCCAGAGACCCAATCTCACCTGAAGCTGGGCTCGCTGGGTTGGGGTCTTGGAGGAGCTGATCTCTTTCCTGTGTGGGCGGCTCTTCTGGAAGCCGGGAGCGGCCCGAAGATGGAGGGGGATGGGTGATGGGCGGGTGGTCCCAGCCAGAGACCCAATCTCACCTGAAGCTGGGCTCGCTGGGTTGGGGTCTTGGAGGAGCTGATCTCTTTCCTGTGTGGGCGGCTCTTCTGGAAGCCGGGAGCGGCCCCGAAGATGGAGGGGGATGGGTGGTGGGCGGGTGGTCCCAGCCAGAGACCCAATCTCACCTGAAGCTGGGCTCGCTGGGTTGGGGTCTTGGAGGAGCTGATCTCTTTCCTGTGTGGGCGGCTCTTCTGGAAGCCAGGAGCGGCCCCGAAGATGGAGGGGGATGGGTGATGGGCGGGTGGTCCCAGCCAGAGACCCAATCTCACCTGAAGCTGGACTCGCTGGGTTGGGGTCTTGGGGAGCTGATCTCTTTCCTGTGTGGGCGGCTCTTCTGGAAGCCCGGAGCGGCCCCGAAGATGGAGGGGATGGGTGATGGGCGGGTGGTCCCAGCCGGGGACCCAATCTCACCTGAAGCTGGGCTTGCTGGGTTGGGGTCTTGGAGGAGCTGATCTCTTTCCTGTGTGGGCGGCTCTTCTGGAAGCCGGGAGCGGCCCCGAAGATGGAGGGGGATGGGTGATGGGCGGGTGGTCCCAGCCGGGGACCCAATCTCACCTGAAGCTGGGCTCGCTGGGTTGGGGTCTTGGAGGAGCTGATCTCTTTCCTGTGTGGGCGGCTCTTCTGGAAGCCGGGAGCGGCCCCGAAGATGGAGGGGGATGGGTGGTGGGCGGGTGGTCCCAGCCAGAGACCCAATCTCACCTGAAGCTGGACTCGCTGGGTTGGGGTCTTGGGGAGCTGATCTCTTTCCTGTGTGGGCGGCTCTTCTGGAAGCCGGGAGCGGCCCCGAAGATGGAGGGGGATGGGTGGTGGGCGGGTGGTCCCAGCCAGAGACCCAATCTCACCTGAAACTGGACTCGCTGGGTTGGGGTCTTGGGGAGCTGATCCGGTGAACGCATTTCTTAAGGGAAGATGGCTACCCCACTTCTCCCCCTCTCTTCAGCGAGTCAACTCTTAGAAATCATGCTTCCAAAGTCCTACCAGGAGGGCACCGGGAACTACTTGCTACTTATGGGCACTTTGCCTATCTACAAAAATCAGTCACTGTATCTGTCTTCATGGTAGGCAGACTTGGCAAATAGGTCCCCAGGCTTTCTGGCTTTGTAAATGACTCAAGAACCCTGGGCTTATTAGGGAGTTTAGATGACTGCTATCTTTGTAAAAGGTGTACAGGCAAGTAAACAAGTGCATTTAGACCAAGATTAAAGAAACATTGAAATAGTACTTTAAAGGAAAACATATCCAGTGAACTTATTTAAAAAAAATGGATGAGGGTTGGGACCAGAAAGTCCCATCCCTACTGAAGAGTTATTTCCAATGGCTGTTGGGAAAGGGAGAGTTGGTATCATACAGAGATACGGTACCCGAAAAATCTACACATGCTCCAGGAGATGGTTCTACACTCTTACCCATCCACGCAGCACTAAATGGTCTCTTTTTAAAGAAGAGCACATGAAGGTAACATGGGCACTTGGTGGTGGTGACTGGCAGATGTAGGCAGAACTGGAAGGGAGGAAGGGGGAGGTGAGTAGATCTGATCAAGGCACATCATGCCCACGTATGCAATTGTCAGTTAAAAACAAAACGGAGCCAAGAGTTGGAGGACAGAGTCAAACAGCTACCGATGGGGGGCAGTGTTGGTAAGAGAGCTGAGCAGGTTAAGCACTGGTGCCAAACCCGAGGACCCAGGGCTGATCCTGCAACTCACCAGGAGCAGGAGAGAGCTGACTCCAAGTTGTCCGAGGCCACTGTCATGAAATCCCTTTCTACCGAAAATAGATGCTTAAAAACTTTTAAAAACCAAACAGACGTATGCCTACACAGGAGCCATTGACTGAAAGCTGTTGCTCAGGAGCAGCTTAACGGTCGCTTTCTTTTTTGTGGTTCCAAGCTCTACCAACCTTTTAAAGGCTATCGAGGAGCTATCTCACAGCGAGTTAGTGGCTTCTTCGGAGCACAGAGGAAGTCCTAAAAGGAATTCATTTAGTAGCAATTCCAAGAACAGCGTTCATGAAAATCACAGAGGAAAGTAGCCTGTCCACCATGTATGAGATAAAGTTATGAGCTTCTAAAAGGAGAAGGCCGGATGAACACCAGGATCCCTGCCTGTTTCCTGCTCCACCTCGATGTGAGTACATTTCTGCTCCCAGTTATGAACCGTTCCTGCTGCCACAGGTCTCTATAGTAACAGCCCTAACCCATGGGGCAAAACCTGTCCTCTTCAGTTGCTTCTTGTTTCAGTAAGGAGTAAAGTTAATGATATACAAAATCGTTACTTAAAAGAGGAGATGGCCAACATGGTTTATGGGTTCGTGGGATTCGTGTTGAAGAGCTGGGAGCCGTGGGCTAGAGAGGTCCTGGGATGTTGTAAAGACAGGGAAGCAGAGAGTATGTGCGGTGATCCATTGTTTATAATCGGATAAAGCTCGGCTGGGCATCAGAATGAAAAGCTAGCCACAAACCATAGATGCTGGGTAATGGTGGAATATATCTTTAATCCCAGGACTCAGGAGACAGAGGCAGATGGATCTCTGAGTTCAAGACCACCGTGGGCTACATGACAGTGAATCAGTCTAAAAGAGAAACAGAGCTCACTTATTTAATCCCAGCTCTAGGGAGGTATATAAACAAGAAGCAAAGGGGGGGGGGACTGGAGAGATGGCTTAGTGGTTAAGAGCACTGACTGCTCCTCCAGAGGACCCGGGTTCAATTCCCAGCACCCACATGGCAGCTCACAACTGCCTGTAACTTCAGTTCTAGGGGATCTGACACCTTCACACCAATATACATATGCTGTGGGCAGACCCAGGCGAGGCCCCTCAACCAGGGGAGAATCAGGAATCTGGTACTCAGGTGGGCAAAGAGTCAGCGAGTGACAAACAGACACGAACACCCGAGAGTGCTGAATCTGAGTGTAATTTCTCAAAGCCTGCATCAGACTTTTACAATCATTACATGAGGAAGTAAAGACGTTAATTTTGTACATATGTCAAGGTACATTGAAGTCAGCAAAATCGGCACATAAGGCACATCATGAGACTAGAAATTCAAAGTAGAAAATCAAATAAATAAGAACTGGCAGTAGCCAGACAGTGATTACAACATCAGCTCTATCTGAGATCAACCCATTCTTAGAATTACTTCCGCCGTCTAATGGGCATGTGCTCCAGTCATAATCCTAGTTCTTGGTCCAGTGCTTAACCCACCATTGGCCTGCCTTCTCTAACCTTCTGATTATACTATTTTGCTGTGTCTTGGATAATAGACCAAGGGGATCGTGTTCTAGCAAGCCTTTCCATGAAATTCAGGGTGTAGTACAGCACATGTTCTCCTCCTATCATTTATCCACCTGTTATCATAAATTGAAGTATAAGGAGGGGGAGCAGCCATTGTCCTAAGCATTTGGAAAAATTCCCTGTTTATGGGAGGAGCCCACCATTGGCCCCTGATTTTGCTGGCAAGGAAGTTGGAACATCAGTGGTAGCCAGAGGAGGAACATCCAATTTTATTGGACCTTCAATTAGGTTGGACTCTTGAGGCATACTTATTCTTACAAAAGAAATTAATACCAAAAAAGATAACATACAGAAACATCCACGGGTCATTGCTAGAACAAAACTGGAACATATCCTTGATATGGGACGCCAGGGACCTTCCAGGAGACCAGTTTCCATGAAACTTTTGCCTCAGGCCTGCGACCAAGTTTTTAGGCTTGACATGCAGACACCACTGGAGTGGGTGTGGCACACATAAAATAAAGTTAAATAAATTATTTTTAAGAAAAGAAGTAAAGGGTCTCATGGGAGATTCAGTTTCCAGTCATGGAAGACAGGATCTCCATTTCTACCTGGGTGGAGGTAAGAGCTACTGGCTGGCTGCTTTGCTTGTCTGATCTTCAGCCTGAACCCCAATATCTGTCTTGGGGATTTTATTATTCATGCTACAGTTATGGACCATTTCCTGGGAATTTAGAAGACTGTAATGCCAAATGAAACACAGGGGGTAATGGTTTCAGAAGGGGACAGATTCTAAAAGAGGCTTGGGTTCTCTACAGGATCAGAATCAAGAATAGTAATGACAGCCACATCAAATCTGAGGATGCTAAGAACATACCATTGGGCCCTTGAAGCTGAGTGCCTCAACAGTTGGAATACTCCCAGAATAGATCTCTGTCACTAGCGGATGGTGACCAGTAGGACCAGTAGTTACTCAGTCCACAAAGCAGGGTGCCTCTGTAGTCCCAGTTTGGTACTGGAAGCCTGGATAGCTGCTGAGAGTTACTGGTCGCTAGTCCAGGATGAAAGCCTGCAAATGCTGATCGTGCTACGGCCGTGAAGGAATAAGGGGCAGGAGCAACAACAGGACAAATCATCTTGGCCTGCAAGACGGGGGGGGGGCAATGAGTAAGCAGCAGGAGAGATAGACTTCCTTCTGACGGGTCCTTTATGGTCTGCTTTGCTACCGGAAGGCAATCAGCCTTCCCATATCAAGTCAGATCTTTAGGTGGGGGCTCGCTACTGAGCTGACTCTTAATTGTGGCAAGCTGCCATTAAAATGAACCATTCCAAAGGAACGGACTGCTTCACCGTGTACTGCAAAGCTGAATGAGGCTACGTTCACAAGTCATGGGCTAAATTGTCTGGCAGAAGAGAGTTCAAGACCACGTAACATCGCCGCAGTGGCATGGCTGCTGCCTACTACATTATACATGCGCAGTCGGAGAGAGGAAAGCAGAGCAGATTACGTGGAAAACGTGTCATTCTGGCGAGGCAAGCAATCTTCTGGAGAAAATCATGGACAGACACATGCACTCTGGCCAGAAACACGGCTTGAGAAGTTAGCTACAGGTGGCGAGCCATCCAGAGTATTACAAAAATACACTCTATCTCTGTAGATCCTAAGGAGCCGTCAACATGCAGTGTTTGGGGAACTTTCTAATAGATGAATGTGGTGATATATTGTTTATGATGTAGTAAAGCTTGCCTGAAGATCAGAGTGTAAAGTCATACAAGCTAGTTAGCGTTAGAGGCTAGGCAGTGGTGGCCACATCTTTAATCCCAGCACTGGAGAGGTATATAAGGCAGGAACAGGGTCTCATTCAGTATTTACTCTAAGGATAGGATAGCCCCAGCATTGGTAGATGCAAAAATTCTCTAGTGGTCAGCTGCTTTACTTCTCTGATCTTCAGCTTGAACCCCAATGTCTATCTCAGGGGGTTTTAATTATTCATGCTACACATGAACACATTTGGCTTCAACAGAAATACATCTATAGCTTTAGAAATTATATGGCAAGAAAAGGAATGTTAATCGACATATATTTCATATCTTAATTTAACCATGCAGCTTATTGTATGTTGGTCAGCTCAAATGATACCACAAAGGTTTAAAAAAAAAAAAAAAAGGACTGTCTTTGGGGAGAAGCAGGGATCTTAGGAGTTGCAATTCAGAAGGTCTTTCAGGGATTTACGTTGCTGTCAATCAATGTCCAAAGCAAGGTATAAAAAAATGGGACCTTACACGGAACTAGGAAGGCTGGGGAAGAACAGGGACACAGGACACGGGAGAAAAAGATTATATAAGCAGAGTGATGATGATGCTGATGATGATGATGTCTGTATTTAGAGTGGAGGTGAGAATATTCTAGGCAGCAGCTGGGACTGTGTGTCAGTGCTGTTTTAATAGCTTCCATTTCAAACAGCTTGCTGTCCCGCGTTCCATCTTTCTTTTGAATTTCAGTCCATCCTTTAGTAACACTGTTAAAAGTTTTAAATTAGGTACAGGGATTTACCAAAACTCTCTGTATAACCTATTCTGCTACATCTCCACTCTCGGTAACTTTTCTCGTAAAGCCATGGCTTTTCAGTACACACTTCCTCTATTCTGAGCATCAGAAGCTACACTATCATTTCTAATTCCCTGTATTTGCATGTTATTGGATCCAGTCCTGGCACCAGTACGGAGCGTTATCACGAAGGATAGATAAGCTAGTGGGTACCTTACAAATGCAAAGGCCCTGATGGCCGTGATTTGCTCCAGTGGGCACATGACTCATCTAGAACCCATGGTTCACAATAACCATTTGCTGTGATTTTTTTCAACAACTATTTATTGGATATGATAATGACGAGGTTTAAAGACCTGTACTCGTCACTGCAGTAAAGACTTTCAAACTGTAGGGTTTGAGAGATACAGCCTACTGGTTATCAGAGAAAAGAGCCTTGATGAGTACTACCTACCAATGCTGGGCTTGTTAGACTCCCTGCTAATGTGACTCCCTATGGCTTCTTTTTGGCCAAGTGAGTTTAGATCGGGCTTTCTAATTTGTACTCAGAGGAGGCCTGACTTCATGTTGAGCTCTGTGTGTGTGTGTTGCATGTTTGCTTTGTGTATATGTTGTATGTGTTTTGTGTGTTGATTGTATATGTGTTTGTATGTGCTGTGTGTTTGTATGTGTGTGTTGTGTGTATATATGGCATGTATATATGTGTTGTATGTGTGTTTATATATATATGCATGTGTGCTGTGTATGTGTTATTGTGTACATATGTATGTATAACTATACTCTCCATACTTATTATCTTATTCTGATTCCATCTTAGTTTATGAGTAAGATTTTTAATTTCATTCCCAGTTTGATGACTCCTCAAAGATACATATTTATATAAAAATAAACAGATGAAAGGACCTTCTCTGATACCAAGAGTGGAAGACAAAAGTTGCAGCATCTCTCAACCCTGAAAATGTTCACAAGTCCCTGCATCCAAACTATGCATCTTCATTCGAATGTTCACAAGTCCCTGCATCCAAACTATGCATCTTCATTCGAATGGGGAGGTGTGATTCAGCAGTAATGTGAGCCGTTGGAATTAAATTCTCTCTGGAAACTGCATTCTGACCAAGAACAGAGTCGCTCACTTTATAGTACTGAGTGTCAAACGCAGGACTTTCAGCTTAGCGTTACCGGGTTTCACTCTGGTCTACCCAGTCTAGGATGTCTGTTTGACTGACACTCAAACTGCAGTATAGAAGATAGGCAGTTTATTCCAAGGTAAAAGGAGACATTGAGGATGAGGAGGGCAATGGCCAAAGCGGCCACTGGGGGTGGGCGTGGGGTCTCAAGATGAAAGTGGGCAGTGGGCAGAGAGACCTCTGTGCTGACCTGAAGTTTTAGGTGTGCTTGATATTATTTCTTGAGCCATCCTGGGCCTTCTCTTTCCCAAGTGACAGGCATGTTCATCTGGAGTCACTCTTAAGGGAAGAGGTCAGAGTATCTTTGTTTGTTATTAGACAGTAATCTTGGGATCTTTTCGACAGTTCCAAGATCTCAGATCCCATTCTTTTCAGTTCGATAGTGTGTGTTCCTCGTTTTACATGATGATTACAAAAGGGTCCAAGCTCCGTGATCTGTAATCTTATTACTGCTAGGTTAGCTCTACCACTGAGCTATGTACAATTTAGACATGTTAGCCCCCAGCCTGCCTTCCTTGCCTCCGTCCTTCCTTTCTTATTCACTATGCTAGGGAACGAATGCAAAGAATTCATACATACTAAAATTTAAATTCAGTCAAAATTAAATTGAAACTGGGTGTTCTGGTTCATGCCGTTTAGAAGGCCGAGGTAAGAAAAGAATGTTCTCACTGTAGCCCAGGCTACAACTGTCTCAAAAAATGAACTAAGCCACAACAGCAACAACAAGTTAAAGTCAGTCACACCTAATTGAAATGAACTAGTCAAATACTGGCTAAAACGTCTCCCCCAGCCTCTCTCTGTGTGTATGACATTATATATGTATGTTTATGATCTCTGTGCACATGTGTGTGCATGCATGTGGGAACCAGCTATTGACATCGGGTGCTTTGTTCATTTTCCACCTTATTTGAGGGAACAAGGTCTCACAGAACCTGGAGCTCAGCTGGTTTGGCTAGACTTTGTGGCCAGCAAGGGTCCTCCTGTCTCTGCCTCCCAAGTGCTGGGATTACTGATGCACACAGCTATGACTGCTTGTTTTTCCCTTTTTTTTTTATTTTTTTAAAAAAAATATATTTTTTTATTTATTGTGTATACAGTCTTCTGCCTACAGGCCAGAAGAGAGCACCAGATCTCATTCAAGGTGGTTGTGAGCCACCATGTGGTTGCCAGGAATTGAACTCAGGACCTCTGGAAGAACAGTTAGTGCTCTTAACCACTGAATTATCTTTCCAGCCGCTTTCTTTTCCTTTTTTAATGTGTGATAGGAATCTAAACTCCGTCTTTATGCTTATGTTGCAATCACTTTACCTACAGAGCCATCTCCCTAGATCAAATATTTGTTTAAATTTAATTCAATCAAGTGTTTGTTCCAGATAGGCAAAATATACATTCATACAAATATTTTCCATCTTATAATCCTTCAAGTTTATTTTCTTCAATTAAATTCTTAAGGACTTTATTGAAATATGAACTCTAAAAATAATGTGAAAACAAAAACCAGACAAGTCCACAATAAAAACAAATTGAAAGAAGTTTAGAGAATAAGTCTGAACAGCAAATATTTGTGGAGAAAAAGATTAATGTGTAAATAAGACATATGTTCAGAAAAGTAAGGAGATCTTAGTGAGGCAAACGTATTATTATCTGTCCTATTTGTCTGCCATGTCAATGGCCCTAATGTATTACAGCTCTGCTGTCTGTCTAGACTTGGCCATGGGACTCGCACTGTCCATATATTTTAGCAAACATGGAAATCCAAGCTTGGCAACTCTCACACCCTGGTTTGCTCGTAGAATGTGTTCTCTTTCTCAGAAGGAAGCACAGCTTAGCTGACTAAAAGACAAGAGGCCATCCAGAGCATGAAAGGGCTCTTTTGAGACAAGGTCTTGCTATGTGGCCCAGGTTGGCCTTGAACTGGTAATTCTCCAGCCTTAGGCTCCCAGATGCTAGAATAAACTCTTAAACACCTGAGTTATGGGATGCTTGGTTATGCAATAATGGAGAATGTATAACTTTCTCCAATTAGTAGAGCAAATACATAAACAAGTCTATGCCTACTATGGAAACAATTAAGGTTTATAAGCAAACATTATCAGAACTGCTGTACCCTCGCAACTCTAGACGTACATAATTCTTTATGGAGATTTCAGCCCATTAAAATACTTCATACCACTCAGTATTTTACTGCTATCCAAACATTCTATGTAGTGATTACACCAATCTAAACAACAAACTAAGTACATGATAAATATTTTTATTCTTAAACAATGAATTGTACATTTTTTCATATAAAAGATGAGAGTTAATCATCACGTTTTAAAAAATAACTATTTTTTACAGAAGTCAATGGTCTCTAAATCCATAGCTTCTATATCCCATAGCTTTCACAGATTCATAATCTTTTGAATACATTTCCAGTATCCCTTAAAATAAAACTTCATAAAAGATATTTTTATTTGCCACATTCAAACTTAAGTTACAGTCCAACTGTTCAGGCCTCCAGGTACCACGGGATACTGATCAGCCAAATGTTGGAGGATTAATTCTCTGTGTTTACTTTTATTAAAAAGAGGTTTTTGGTAGTGAGGACAAATAACCTCTCGTTTGTTGCCTGAAAGCCTAAAATAGGATCATTGGTTTCTAGGCTCGCCACTTGCTGCTTAGCAACCTGCCCTACGTGCCTGCCTTCCTTTCTGTTGTACAGCACGGTGGACATGGGGGTAGGCTGCCGATAGATGAACACTCGGCGGAGGCACTCGCAAAGGGCTGCGTAGGAGTAATTGGGGGCACAGGCAAAAAACTTCTTGTCTCTCTTTGAGGCTTGGACGTAACCTGACCAAAAGAAAACCAAAGAACTAAATGTTAAAAAAACAAGAGAGAAAAGTCACGATTGAACACTTACTATTTCACAGCATCCATTACAAATTTAAATACTTAAGTAAGACATATACCATTAATAATCAACAATGGATGAAGTCAGCACCATTAACACTAAACCCCAGTTTCCTCTAAGAGATAAGAGGTACAGAAATACAACTTTTAATTCCTAAGGAACAAAGCAGGGCTGCTCTCAACAAAAGCATAATACCGTTCTATTTAATGTCCATGAGATAAAATAATAAGCATCTAAAATCGCATAAACCAAAATACACAGAAATTTAAATGCCTAGCTCAAAAACCAAAAACCCTAAAATGACATCTTAAAAAAATGTTCTGAAACAAATGAAGACCCTAGTTGACAGAAAGGCCTCCCATGCCCGTGGACGGGGGGGCAGAATTAGCACTGTGAAACGGCTGGCTATATTAGAGAGTGGTTTACAGAGTTCAAGAAGAATCCGCACCAAATTCTCGCGGCATTCTTTACAGACACAGATAAACAATCCTGGAACTCAGACGGAAGCACAAAGGACCCAAAATAGCCACAGAAACCTTAAGCAGAAGGTAATGGCTGGAGGTTATTACAGGACTTACTGACCTCAAGCCGTACTACAGAGACACAAGGACACAGACAGAAAAACAGACACACAGGCAAATGGAGTGGGTTGGGGGAGCCACAGACAGACAAGCCCAGCCAAAGCAACATAACTGACCACAACGCTGTGACTAGCACAACCCTACAGCCTTCGTAACAGGGAACACTGGGGAACTCCACACAGAGAAGACAGAAACTAGTCTCCCTTTGCAGAATCAATTCAAAGCAGATCAAAAACTTTAAGGCCTGAATTCTGAAACTAACAGAGGAAGACATCACTTGTTACTAAACAAGTGATAAGCAAAGGAAGGCCTTTCTGGGAAGGACAACAATAGCCCCATAGATAAAACCACAAAAATGCCATTGGATACATGGAATTAAAAAAGTAACACACAGCAAGGAAACAATGAATTGTGAGCAGACAGCCTACAGAGTGGGAGACTTTCCTTCCTATCTATATATTGCAGAGATGATTTGTGCCCAGAATGCATAAAGAAGTCATAAAACTACCCCAAACCCAGACAATCCAGTCTATAAATCGGTAACAAAATGAACAGGTAGCTCTCAAAAGTTAAAGCACAAATATCCAGTAGACAAAAAAATGTTCATCATTGATAATGTGGAAATTCAAATTAGATTTCCACGGAGATGCTACCAGAGTACACTGAGCATAGCTGTTATTATGAGAACAGAGGACAATAAATGGCGAGGAGACTGTGGGAAAAGAACCCTAGCTTCTCTGCTGATGGGAGTGTACACTGGTGCAGACACTATGGAGATCAGTGCAATCTGAAAAAAAAAAAAACAGATAGGATCCAGTCATAACTGCTCATATGCTGGAAGAAACCAAAGTTAGCATACCAGGGATGCCTGCATGCCCATGTTTATTACAACACTATTCACAGAAGTGAAGATATAGAATTAGCTTAGACACCCAACAGAGGGATGCATAAGCAAAGTGTGATACACACACTCACAAAAATATGGTGCTTAATGCACCTGTAAAGAACATAATTATGTCATCTACATGGGAACAGATGTGAATGGACTTTACCATGCTAAATGAAATCAGATCCAGAAAGAAAAATACTATACGTTTCTTTTACATACAACTCCAGATTTACACACACACACACACACACACACACACACACACACACACACGTACAAAGAGGGACACGAAGGGAGATCAGATAGATGACAGTGTAGGGAGAGGAGGTTTTAAAGGTAGTGGGAACTGAAAAAGATAGGATAAGGGAAGAGACAAAAAAACACATCTCAGTTTTTCTCATATGAGCATTCTAGATTTAAATGCTAACATGTATATTGTATTTTCACATATGTGTTTACATATGCACTATAAGGCGAGTAAAGCCATGAGGCACAAGCAGCAAATACTGCTCTTAAAACAGGCAGGATGTAGAGAGGGAGAAGGGAGGCTACGGGGACCTATCTGAGTCGATGAACATAAGCTATACAGGCAACTTTGATAGTAAGGGACATAACAAATCAAGAGCACTGTCTAACATAAAGCTGATTTCATAGGATCAAGCATAGCAGAATTCATTTGCAAGAGGGTTTTGACACGCAATCGAAGACTCTTGAGTTTCTAAAAGTGACCTGGAAGAACTTTGCTCTTCCTGAAGGAAGGAAGGAAGATAATTACAAAATAGGAGATACAGTAGAGGCCCGAAATTGTGCAGTTAATTAATCCATCAGACTTCTTAGTATTTCAAGTCATACAAATCCACTCAGATTATGAGTGAAGCAGTTTAGTCCTAAGTGCTAATTGCAAATTTCCAATTAGAGTTGTAGATATATACAGGCTTTAAAAGCCACAATTTTACATTTTTGCTGCCGGCTTAAAATAAGCTTCCAATAAAGCAATAACTGTAGCTAATTCACATAACAGAATTCCCACACAATATGGATATGCTTTGACATAAAACCGATGACTGCAGAGTCTATACTTATGGACTTTTAATTTTCTTTGTGGTGTTGTTTTGAAACAAATATTTTCCCCTTTAACAATAAGTTCAATTTATACTTATCCTTTTCATAAACAAATACCTTTTGCTTCAACAAGAAATTCAATTTATATTTATCCTTCCCATAGTTGTTTTCATTATCGTGGCCTCTTGTCTTCATTTGGGCTTGGATTCTGAGACAAGAGTCTTGGTGTACAACTCTGGCTGGCCTCACACTCCTGTCCCCTGCCTCATCCATCCAGGTGGTGGGAATGTAGGTGTGTGCCACCAGCCTGGCCTCTTTTGCACTGAAGGTCAGTGAAGTGGGCCTTCTCATTAAGAGTGTGCATCCCCGCACAGCAACTGTAGAATGCTTTCGAAGAGTACCCTCCCAAGAGACGTAAATACAAGCTGCAGCACGGCAATGCCAAAGCCCCTGCTCCTTCTGTCTTTGACTCAACTCATTAGAAAGGTTCAAATGGTTACATTGCCCCTTGCATGTCCATTCTGGGTTAATCTATGCAATTGTAAAAACAGGTTCATCTTTCTGGTCTAACAGTTTAACCCCAGGAAACAGAACACAGACAAACCGTAGTGTGGACCAATGATCGAGCAGGGCCCAGATGACAAAAACAAAACCACCACAGACAGTTTTCAGAAGAGGACCAAGTGGGGGTCTGGGAAGGCCACTGAGGAGAATGCTTTCTACCTAGGGCATTGAAGGTCGCAATGTGCTCCCACATGTCATCCTGCTTGCTGCAGTGTGGTTGCCAGAGGAGGGCATCGACGTCATGGCGCAGACAGAAGCAAGGCATTTCTTTAGGATCCACAACGACTGAGAACAGGTACTGGTTGCTGCCGAGATTCACCTACAGCGATAAAAACAAATGTATTCACAGTAAGTTAGTCACAATGATGAAAACTGACATTCGACATCATCAGCAATGGCTTTAAAACTAACTTTGCCTCCCTCCATCCTTTCTAAGATAAGGTCCTAGTATGTAGCCCAGGTTGGCCTTGTACTCGGCAATTCTGTCTGAACCTGGGATTTTGCGCAGGCACCAGTCACCATGCCTTGCTTGCTTGCTCTAAGTTTTGAGGACCTAATTGGATCGAGTCTTCATAGAGTTCCTGATAGGAATGTGTTTCTGGTACATTCATTTTAAAGCTGAGTGAGCAACGATGCACGGGGCACTTAACTTGTCCAAGGTCAGGATGGTTTTAAGTTACGGACATGGAATTTGGACCCAGAGTCTCTGCTCTTAACCATTATGCTGTGTATCTGAAGGGACACCAGCCCACTCGAACATGTGGTTCTCCCCCATTTCCCCTGCCTTGCTAAAAACCATTAGACTACATTCCTGAAACTAGCCCCCAAGGTCTACTCCCTTATTTGACCACGTCCTCCTCCTGAGGTTGACCACCAAGGCCCGGCTATCTGGTCCAGTTATCAAAGTATTGAAGTCCAGCAATCAAAACCCCCTGTTGGTTCACACAATTAACATGCCCAGGTAAACACTTCACCTAACACAGGGCTCACCTCCTTACCTTTATAAACCACTTTTTTCCTATGGACCACGTCTGTCTCTCTCTATCCAGAAACTGCCCTTTGTTCCTCCCCAGCAAATATCCTCCCCGCCTCTCCCTTATTCCTTTCCCGTTCTCCCTCCTCCTCTATCTCCTGGCTTTGTCTCTTATTCCCTGCCCTCTGTCCCTCTAGGAAAAATAAATCTCCTTTGTGCTGAGAACTTGGTCTTGGGGTGTCTTTTCACTATCTACCCCTCAATGTTAATAGTTTTTTAACATATGACACAAAACACCAACTGAATAAAAAGAATAGTTTTAAGTCACAGAATATAGACACTAAACTTACTAATGTTACCGTGTGACTATCACCAAGAATAATTAGCAGCCGGTGCATCTTAAGAGCACGTTCTATATGGCAGGTATGTTCTAGGTACTCGTCTCCACAGCTCCTGTTATCTTTATGTGACAGTTGAAAGTGGTGCTCTGTGACTGAGTAATAGTTCCCATGCCACAAGGAAAAAAAGTCACTCTCAGATAAAGCCTCGGATCTACTTACCAAGCGTTCCACTGTGCTCCTGAATTACAGTATTAATATCAATAATACTGTCAGCAGCTGTACTGTAATACTCACTCCACTACAAACCCATCACTTGGACTCACAGTTGGATCCCACTCAAAGAGAAATTTCATTAACAGAGCCAGGCTGTAGCCATATCTTCACCAGGCACTTTATTATTAGAGGATTAAATGTCAGCAGAAATAACGCCAAGTGGAGATGCTAGAGTTAGGGTTAGGCTTGAGATGGCCAGTGTGTGATAAATGCTGACCCGGGCCTACGGATTTTACAGTACAGTGAAGAACAAGACGCTGGTTAGGAAGCTGAGACCTGACTTTCACGCTGAAAGGAACCCTGTGAAACATAGCGTGAGGATTTATGGGTTCACCAGGGCAGCCTAGGCTCTCAGGGTCCAGCAGCAAAGCTGCCCACCTGGTGAGAATAACGGCCAGGAGCAGGACTTGTAGGGAGCCCCAGAGCTCACTCTCTGCAGCAAGGAAACGGGCTGGTACATTCTCGCCACCACTTATCTCTTCTTTGCCTGCCAGTGGCTCAGTGAGACTTGTCAAAATTCCACGAGTGAAGGGGCCTGGGAAGGAAGCCTCGGAGGGCCCAGCACTGCTGCAGCTCAGCCTCCTCTCCACTCTTCCTGACCTACCCACCACGCTCCCACAAGGGCAGACCTAGCTGAGGTACAGGTGGGCTCCATCAGAATTTTCATAACAGCAGCGAGAACAAAGCAACTGAGCGTCAACCGAAGGCTTACCCGGGAGACAGGTCAGCCACGCAAACAAGAGGGTGGGGAGGAGGTATCTCGCCGCCAGCCCCTCGTTCCGGTGAGACCTTTCTCTCCTTCCGCCCGCTTTCCCATACTTGGGCTACACGGTAAGGCAAAGGGCTACTGACCAGACGCCCAGAAGTTCCAGTCGGCCTTTCCTGACTCCTCTTGTCCTCTTACAAACTCTACTTACCCAAGACACAGCTCAGTCACCACCTGTTCCAGGAATACGTATCATGATCCCAGGAGACGCTGAACTCTAAAAACTCACTGCACGTCTATTATTCCTAACAAAATAGACTGTTATGTTCGTGTGTAACTTAGCTGCAGACCATCTGTGGCTGGCCAAATATTATCACCCCAGGACACCCTCACCTCCGTCCTCTGGAGCCTCCATTTCTTGAGATAATGAGGAGGTATGTTCGGGATTTTCAAATGGCAAGATTAGCCTGACTCATCTGAGTGAACCCAATGTATTAGTAAGATTCCTCGTCAGACGGGGAGAGAAGGACAAACTTAGCAAAGAGAAAGAAGTGGCTGTGAGATACTAGGCTGTGGATTGTGTGACTAAGGGATGGCTAAAGCTGAGTAATGCAGGCAGCCTGGGAACTGAGAAAGGCAAGGGGTGAGTCGTCCCCTGGAACTCCTCGGAGCAACACAGACAGACAGACCTACAACCCAAGAATTAAAAAATCATTCACCTAATCTTCTCCTAAAACTAAAAAGACAAATTAAAATAGACAAAACAGGAAAAATAAGGAGGAAAGTGAACAAAATTGGCAAAAAGACAAAAATAATGAAGCTAGGTTATTTTATTAAATGAATGAAAATGATCAGTTTCTAGGCAGACTGACGGACAAACATAGCATCACATATGGAAGAGTTACTACAGATTCTGTAAGCATCCAAGGTGATTGCAGAAGCAAGAACTCCCCTAATGTACTAAAACTGCTGGATGGGATGAATGTTGACAGTCATGGTCTTAGCCACAGTCACCGACATGCCATTTCTGCACGGGACGGCATGTTACCTGAAACTCTGACAGGCTGTAGTTATTGAGAAGCAGAGTCTGACGCCAGCACACGAGGTGCAGGAAAAGCACCGGGAAGCAGGCTACAACACAGCCATGCGGCTGCGCGGTAGAAGCCAGTTTCCCTCACTCTTATCAAGAACATAAAAAGTCCTCCCATAACGAAAGATTTTAGTTGTTGTTGTTCAGCACTTAGGGGCACTGGCAGCATAACCATGGATACCAGAGTCTGGACTGCAGCGCCACATAACGAGCTAGGCGTCCTGCAAATGCCTGCAACTCCAACTTTCAGGGATCGGATCCCCTCTACTTGCCTCTGCACATTCATGAGCATACACACATATAAATCGTTTTTAAATTAAGAGAATTTTTTGATGTTCAGTGTCAGAAACTACTGTATGTAACACAGTCACCACTGGGTATAAGACGTAGGCAGAGGAAAAAGCGGGGCAATGTCAATGTCCAGCAGTATTCAAACAACATGCCTGTATTTCGCTGGATTTGGTAGTATGGAAAGGAGGCTACTTTGTGGAGTGATGAGATTTATCACACCCTATAACTTTCAGTCAAACTAATTTTAAAACACGTATTTCATTCAATTTTTTATCTGCCAAATTTCTATTTATTATCCAGAGCTTTTTAGAATTCCTATTAGCAAGAACTTACCACATGAGTTGTTTTTAATGTATTGCCATCAAATCTGCATAAACTGGAGCTCTCTTCAAAGAAAAGATCACATTCTTCTAATTCCTGAGCATTACAGGGAGGTTTTTCTTTATCCGGATTTGGATTCTTAAGCCAAAAACAAAACAAAAATACATAATTAAATAAAAAGCAAGTAATTCATCAAACAATAGGAAATAAGTCATTCGTCTTGAAAAAAAAAATGTTGTCAAAGTGACAGATTTGGTTAATTGGACACAGTGTTTCCAGCTTGTGAACCCAGGACTCAGATGTCTGAGACAGAAGGACCATCAGGACTTCAAAGCCAGTCTAGGACACACAGGGAGACTTCGTTCAGTCTGAACTAGAGTCCTGTACCAAGAAACTAAAGCCAATCAACCAACCAACCAGTCAAGCAGCCAGCAACAACAAAACCCCTTCACTACTGTAATGCATTCTATACACTCAGAGATGGAAAGAAAACTGAACATGTTGAGATAAGGGAGACAGAAAAAGAGAATCTGAGTGAGTGTCCCGATATGAAAACGCAAATGAGGACAGAAAGCAAAGTATGAGATGGGTAGCTAGCCAATGTGTGGAGTCTAAAGACAGAGCAAACTACACTACAGAACATCGGGAATCCCTGTGTGTTTAAGAAAATGAGAGAGTACAGCAATGATGAGACTGCTGGGAAGCCGTGACAAAGAGGAGATGCTAAAGGCAGCCAGCGAGGAGACAGCCCTTTGCTTGACTGAACAAACAACTGACTTCTCCCATAGCTGCTTAAGCCAAATAAAACGCTGTGTTTCTAAAACAGAACCCGATGCTACCACAAAAATAACTGGAAACGTTAAACAAGAAAAGGACTTTTACCAACAAGAGCTGAGAGAACTAACCACCAACACATGTACCCTGCCGCCAGAAACACCCGGGGAAAGTCTTCAAGGAGGGAAAAACAGGTGAAGCCCGAGTTCAACATAAAAGGAGACCAGGGGAGATGAGGAACATGTACGTAAACCAAAAGACTTGTTTGCTCTCCCCCATGCTCTTCTTCAAAATCTGAACTATGAGAGACAGGAGACAGAAATAAAATATATGACAACCCATGACAAAGGAATGGATATATTACATAATTCTAAAGTTGTAAATGAAATAATACTTAGAGAATGATATTAGATATAGTCACCGATATATATATACACAAAAATATACATCCAAACAAAAATAAGTGTACACATTAAATAATTATTTTAAGATTGTCGAAGCTACCTCCAAAGGCAGAAAAAGAACAAACTAAATTCAAAGCAAGCAAAGAGGAGAGATGAATGCAGCAATCAATAAAGTAAAAACTGAAAGTCACCAGAAACTGATATTTAAGATAACATTTCATGTGTTAAACTGCAGATAAAAACTTCCAAAACAAGAGAGGAACTCTATAACTCAGATGGCTAAAACATAACAGCGATACTATATGATCTCTTCTGTTATGGAGGACGATGTCCTATTCATTTATGGTATAAGCATTATCTAAGTATGAATAGTGTGTAGACAACTTCCAAAAGTTGAAAAACAGAGCAACTTACTATTTCCCTAGTCCACTGACATTAGGTGTAGATGACAAAACTGTACATCTCTACTTTTCAAAACATGACAAGACTGGGTGTCTTTACTTCCAGGCTATAAAAAACTGGGGCATAGGTAACTTTCTCATAAATATCAGTGCCTCTTTGAAACCATCAAGTTTAAAAGGCACTTGGCGTAGTTGTTATATTCTCAACAAAGCTGCTCGGAATAAAATCTGCCGACTCAATGAGCCTAAAGGATGAGGCGTCTGTGAATAGAGCAATGAAATCACACTTGATGGCCTGGTACATGAATCCCACTAATTTTTGAAATTGCCAATGACAGGGCAAAGATGAAGCTGGCGTTCTCACTTTCAATCTTTTAATCTCTTCTCTAGCCTAGGATGTACCTAACACTGCAGAGTAAATAATAATTTCTTGGACTCTTCTTTATCACTATAATTCAACACGGCACTAAGTCAGACGATTACACATGCCGATAGCACTTCTGGTAAATGATCACATTTCCAATGTTCTAAAGTATTCCTGAATGTTTTCAACTTCTCAACAGGCTATTACAAGTCATTACCATGGCAATATTTTCTACCCCATAGCTAAATGAGCATTGTCAGGTCATGGTAATCATTACAAGGAACTAGCTCACCCATTAGAACAATTACTAGAAGTCAGTGAAGTAGGAACAAACAGCCATCTTCACATCCCCACGAATCTTAACACAAAATTTGGGAAAGAAGTAGGAGACACGGAAAGGCAAAGGACAGCAATAAACACAAAATGAAACAGGTAAGAACACCGAATCTTAGACGTATAGTGGCAACGCTTTAAAGTCCATGCGACAACACAGGGACTACAGTGACAGCAGTGACACTGTAAACGTGAGACATGGTGACTGGTTTATTTTATTGTTATCTCACTGTATCCTTTTGTAAACTCACTCTCATGCAGACAATAATTAGGTTTTCTCTTGGTTAGTTAGACTCTGACTGTTTTATTCACGATTGTGTGCTCCTGATGGCACGGGGAAAGAGGGAGTCATACAGTCACCCGGGAGAGGTGTGGGGTACAGCTCAGACCCACAGTAGCTTTACTTTGGTTTTGTGAGGAAACTTCCCAGTAATTTCTACACTGGCTAAGTATGTACATCTGTATGTTTATGTTTGTTATAGCACTACTTACAATAGTTAATTTATAGAATCAGCCTAGGTTATTAACATATCAATGGCACAATTATAATTTCTTCTTCTATCAACATTGGTTGAGTCTTCTAAAGAATGTCAAGATACACGTCTACATTTATACACCATGTAAAATATGAACTCCAATCCACATCAATTAGGTGACACTTGCTTGTGTGTGTCATTTATATTAGGAAAGGCGCACTGATGCTTCCTGTAGGACACTTGTGGCCTCTTGGACGGAGCCTCTGCTGTAACTGCTCACCAGTTCGTCAGAGGTCAGGTGCATCAGGCGCTCTGCTATTGCAGCACACTGGGCTGGGTCTCTTACAAGCTCTCCTTGCTTATCACCAACCACCAGCTCTGGCCACGTCAGACCTTCATTCCTCTTAATCAGGGAAATCTCCAACCTAAAAGAGTAAAGGAGAGACATGATGCTATGTTAAATACTACACATTTAAACCAGACGCAGTGTTTCATTCCATTATCCCAGCATTCAGTAGGCTCAAACAGGAAAGACTCAAGAGTTCATGGCCACTACGGAGTGAGAGCACAAATCAAAATTATGGGAAAAAGACAGAAGAGAAAGAGGGAGGAGAGGAAGGTAAATATTACTTATCTGGTATCTAGAGAACATTTTACCAAAAATCTTACTCACTTTGGCTTTACATGCAATAGAAAAAAAAATCTATACTCCAATGACAAATAACCTAAACTTAATAACTAAACATGAAAGTACCACAACAAATGGAGCTTGAAGACAGACTGTGGCGTGATTGGGAAGATTATATGGAATTTTAATCACAGACAGGGCAATTTAAATCAATGTCAATGTTAATTTTTAGAACATGGATTTTTTTAAAGAACTGAAAACAAACATAGGGATTAAAAAACTTTAATACAGGAAAAATATTAATATGCCTATATAACCTGTTGTTTAATCCAATGCAATACATTCAAGCTGTTAAAAAGAAACTCCAAATGCACCAGGCAGGGCCTGGCAGACCCGGAGATGAAGAATTTGTATTGCAGGAGAACGAGGCACTGGGTTGGGGCAGACCGTGGACAGAGGAGCCAGTTAGCTGTCCAGCGTTCCTCTGGACAGGACAGGCAACTCGGGGCAACTTATGTGGCTTCCACAGTGAGGAATCTTTCCCATGAGCCATCTCTGATAAGTGTGTACCAACTAACCCTCAGCCGGGAACACAACTTCAAACACACAAATCCAAGAGTACAGTATACCCTATTATTGCAATTATCAAACAGGACAGGCAAGCATACCAACTGCTCTTTAAAGAGGTTACTATCAGGAATTCATAAAATAACTAAGGCATTAGAAAATTTCTGCAACTATTTAAGAGACTATACAAGATAGTATCACTTATATAATAAAAGTTCTTATCGTTACCACTGAAAATTACCACCCAATCAATGAGGCGCAGACTTAGTTGTATTCTCTAAGGAATAAACCAACCTGATGGAAACGGTGATAACAAAGACAACAGCACAGGCTCAAACTCACCTAACGCTTAACCATATAATAGGAACTTCGTGTTTTACCTCATTTATTGCTTAACACAGCCAAATAAAGTTCCATCTTTATGTCCGTGTTCCAAATATGAATGAAAACATCTCAGAGGGTAAGCAACTTGTCAAACTCACTAGCCAGGAAAACACTGCATTAAGCAGTGTGTTCTAAGTACTAATCTTATTTGCTAATTTTTAACTGCCAACTTTAAATGCTAGCCTCAAGGCTCCTGCATACATATAAACGTGATCAAACAGATGTAGAAATACATAGTCCTTTCAAAAGAACTCTGATAATTCCTTTTCCTCTGCTATAAAAAAGAAAACAGAAAATGTGTACATGCTAAGCAACCCTTCTTTCTACCAACTGAACTATAGTCTAAGCCCCTTGGTTACCTTAGGAATTTGTAGGATTTTTAGGCATTGAAAATTTAAGTCTTTCATATAAATATTTTATTAACTGTTCATGTCTTACTTTTGAAAAACATTTTTAGATGAGCAAAAATTTCAATTTTTAAAAGTTGACTTCGGTTTCTGGAGACAGGTTTTCATGTAACCCAGACTGCCCTCAGACTCAACATGCAGCTGAGACTGATCCTGAATTCCTGATTCTCAGTTTTGCAAGTACTGGGATACAAGGCATGCACCACCACACTGAGCTTAACACTTTAACTCTGAAGGGCAGAAACATTTTAGATTAAGTCCAATTACCATGCATTTCTTTATGGTTAAATTCTTTTGTGTGTGTGTCCCAAACACAGACCACATAAAAGAAATGTAAATGATCAATTTATAGTGAAGAAGAACTTGTTTCTCAAAAATAATTCTTCAAAGGTAGAAATTTATCTTTCTTATATATTCTTTTTTTTAAAGATTTATTTATTTATTTTTTATGTGCATTGGGGTTTTGCCTACATGTATGTCTGTGTGAGGCTGCACATCGCTGGAACTGGAGTTGCAGAGAGCTGTGAGCTGCCATGTGGGTGCTGGGAATTGAACCCAGGTCCTTGGGAAGAGTGGCCAGGGCTCTTAACCACTGAGTCATCACTCCAGCCCCTTTCATATATACTTTACACATGCAAAATAACAGATAATTATTCACTGTAGCAAAAGCCTGGAAATACTCTGAATGTTCAACAATAGAAAACTGTTTTAAATGATGATTGTACCTAATAGACTTAACTTTACAAAGACGTAATAAAGTACTGAAAATAACCATGTATCCTTAATGGAAAAATATCTAAAATTTATTGTTTGCAAATGTAAAAATGAGATATATAAACAAGATATATGCTACGGTGTGTGTGTGTGTGTATCAGAATTTTTTTCTCAAAGACAAAATAAAGAATGTAGCAGCATAAACAGAAAATGCATCTAGAAGGAAAGTAGTAAGAGCAGCCACAGGGCAGTACACCCATAACTGGCGGGACTGGGTGGAGGGAAACTTCTCACCCTGTAACCTTTATACTCTTTAAATGAAATTTAAAGAATGGAATTATATATTTCATAAGTAAATTAAAGCTGAAGTAACTTCTATTTACAAAACTGTAAGAGTCCAAATTAAAGTAGCAAACAGTGTCACCTTGTCACCCCTGTACCTACAGCGAGTGACGGAAGCGGGCAAGCTCAGCTGCATATTAACTCTGTCTAAAAAATCATCAATGTGGATAGAACTATTGTTTCCATCTCCAATACAACTACTGTGGAGAGGAAAAATTAAAAAGTAAGCCATAAGGAAGAAAACTCAAACGTGAAACTACAGAAATACCCGTCATTTTCTTTCAGGGTCCATGCACTGCTTTCGTGGTCAATAGATGAATACAGTCTTCCTCCCAGGACCTGGACACCCTTCAGCGTAATGGTGATGCTCTCAGGCAAAAACTGGATTTGAATGTCTTCCTTAGCACAGTTTTCGGGGAGCCTTACTGTTACTGTCAAGTCGTCCTCAGTTTGTTGCCAGTAATACAGAGGTTCCACTGGACCAAGAAAATGCATTACGTAACAAAAATTAGACACAGCATACAGACTTAGACCTCAGGCCTCTAAGAGGCCACCTATCCAAGTCAATCAGTGTATTTCCTAGGAGCATCCCTCTCACACACACACGAATTGTGAACACGCAGACTTCAGGGAATCTGACAGACTTGAAACAAATGCACAGGATAGTGTCCTCCTCCAGGCTCACCCATACATTCAGAGATGGGCACTGGGCACTCATAAAACTACTGACAGCCGTCCCTTATGTACTTCAATCTCTGACTCTCTTTACTGTTCCCCTTCTTCTTCCTCTAAGTTACAACACACACACACACACACACACACACACACACACACACACACACACGCATGCACGCACGCACGCACGCATGTACACCAGTCTCCCTTAAATGCGAATATGCCAGTTTACTCAATATAATCCCATAATGAATAACTTCTGACAATGAGGGTAAGAGGAACCTGTAAAATTATGTTTTTAGTGAAAATAGACTAAAGACAATCCAGAATTTCCGAACCCTTTATCATGGAGTATCTACAGTTCCCCCATTTCTGTGTGGTGAAGGTCAAACTTGGGGCTCTCACACGCTACGCCAGCCTCCCACCACTAGGCCGTCTCAGACCTTTCTGACTGTGGGTGCCTCGAGGTGTCATCCTGTGCCTTTAGAGACTAGGATTACATGTTTACAAGAAAACCGTAATTATTTGTCTTACTATGAAGATACCAAATAGTCCATAGTTACCATTTTTCCTGAGGTTTACAGGAAATGAAACCAGTTTCTATTCTCAGAAGTGTTAAGAATGTTAATCAAGCACATGTAATTTAAATATGCCCCCCTTTTCCTTTACTATTGTGAAAATATCACAGGCAATCATTAATAAATTGCAAAGGAATTCAAGATGTAACATGAAGCTTCAACAGGAAAAATCACAGTTGGACACAAACACACACAGTGCTCTGCTGGGACTGGATTTGCCCTGGTCCCAACATAGACATCCCAGTGATGAAGGCTCGCCTGCCTGCCTGCCTGCCTGCCTGCCTGCGCAGCTGCTCAGTGAATGAGTTCTGAGGGCAGCAGGCTTGATATATGAGCACTGACTTGGTGAAGGCTTTAACACATTGAGCAATGAAATAAGGTTAGTGGATGTATCTGGAGGAAGTCCAAGTCTCGCAAACAATGTTTGTGAGGAAACCAAGTGGGAAGGAAGAGAAGAGAAGGCCAAAGGCACAGCTCTTTTTCTGTCTGGAGCCTCGCACATTCATAAGTCTGGGGAAGTAATTCTGAACAATGATTATGTTAGTATTGTTAAATATGTTTTGAAGGACTCACTTTTTAAAAAAAAAAGTACACAAATATACTGAGGCCAATTTTACTCTAAAGCTTTATTTATTTCTATTTAATATATATATGAATACTTGCATGCATGCATGTATGTATTTACATGCATATAAATGTGTGCCTGGTATGTATGCATGTATGTATGTATGTATGTATGTATGTACATTCATATAAATGTGTGCCTGGGAAGGAAGAGAAGAGAAGAAAAGGTATCCCCAGAGGTCAGAGGAAGGTGTCAGAGATAAGGATGGTTGTGAGCCGCCATGTGGCTGCTGGGTACCACACCCAGGTCAGCAGGATCAGCAAGTGCTCTTAACTTCTGAGTCACTGCTATAGTCCCTCATTTTATTTCAAAGAATTTACTCATTTCAGAATCAAAGGTAGATGCAAGGAATAGGTGACTATCAAATACTATCTAATTTTGTTAAATACACTATTCTCTGATATGAACAACAATGTCCTTTATTTATAAACACAAGCTTCTTCCAGAAGGCCTTGCTGACCTCTCCATTCTAAGGCATGGCCTCATGGAGTCAACATGGAGAAATGCAGGGCTCCGCCCTGAAGGAACTGTCAGTTTAGTATGAAGGTAAGAATATAGATATTAACCCTTACTGTAGGGGAACATTATCATACGCCTTGTCCATTGTTAATACAAGCATCATTTATTAAGTACTAGACATGGAACCATGTAAGCCAACTGTAATTTCTAAAACACCATGTAATTGCAAAATTACGAAGGTAAACCAGTCCACATCATTCAGGGCGAATCTTCCAAAGAGATGGGGGACATGAAATAAAATTAAGACAAAGCATCTGTTGAGCCCTAGCGGGACCCATAATGCATGGGAGGATAAAGCAGACATACATGTAATGTGTCTGTACGTAAGTACACATGACATACATGTAATGTATCTGTACATAAGTACACATGAGCTCCCCCCACGGGTTAAATTACCTTTGGTTTTCTCTGGTCTGTCTTCATCCATACTTTCTTCAAGATCCTGATCAACCGAAACAACCGTGAAGGACTTATAGGACACGATCATTAGGCCATTTCCATTAGGTTCAATAGCAGCATAATGCGGTACCGACTTCCCACGGAGAACGTGATGCTTCGTAATTTCATACTTTTTACTGTCTGGAGGAAAATAAGTATTAGGAAAAGCCACATTTTAAAAACCCTTGGTAGGAATAAAAAAATTGACAATTTATGGTCACCAAGCCTGATGATGGTGGAAAGAGAACTGACTCCCATCCCTGTCCTCTGGCCTTACACACACGCGCACACGCACGTACATGCACACACACATGCATATGCGCACGCGAGCACACACACACACACACACACACACACACTCCTGACAACAAAACAAACAACAGAAATCCCCAAACAGCAACAAGCAAGCCTCTTAGCTACTGATTAGAGAACAGCAGAGAGGGACAGGGAGGGAGAACACTGGGTATATCTCTTAAGCTAAGCAAAGCCAAAGAGCAGGCCCTCACCATCAAGGAATCTCCTTAATACACAAGAAACTACTTTTTAATGTCACGCCTGAAGTCTAACATATGTGGCTAAGGAAGTCTTTGTAAGAAAGTTTTAGGGAAGACAGAAGCAAAAAAAATTGGTTGAACAAAACAAGGGCATCCACTCCATCTTCCTGTTTGGAGTTACATTCAAATATATTCAAACTATATGAAAATTTTCTATTAGGTAGCTATTTCCTGTAAATTGAAACAGGTCCTCATTGAGAAAGAAGGGTTCGTAAGAGTTGGGTGAATGAAACAATTTTCAGAAAACTCCGGAAAGTTACAAAATTCAAGGCCCTCCCCAACGTTATAAGGTAAAGAGAGTCAACTGTCTGACATACTGAGGGTTGGGAGGGCTGCAGGGAGACAGTTTTGAGAGTTTGTTACCAATATGGGGTTAGCTTTTTCTGCAAGTGACACATCATTTACGCTCTTGTGTGTAGCCCCAGGAAACTCAAGGGCTCACTAAGCTACACAGGGCGGCCACTTTGGTCTCTGTTAGTGCTGTCTCTAGCGTGGAGGAAGTTTATTGTCTCACAACAGCTATGTATATCTATGTTCACACATACGAACTTTTAGGGATACACTCTTAACTGTCTTAAAATTACATATTCATGTAATCCTTTTAAACAGACTGCACAGTTGGTCGTAGAAGTGTATCATGGCCTTTTTAGAAGCAGAACGTATTGCAATGCTTAAGAGGCAAGCCCTAATTTCCCCATCTCAAGTCCCAACAAGTGACGGCAAGAGAGAGAGGCTCACAATCTTGTCACCTTTACCTTTTTTCTTGCTGACAGTGACCCACTCCAAAGACACATAGAAGCCACTTCCTTTCATGTCCAATTCCTCCTTCTCTATCCGAAGAAGCAGCACAGCGACTGAATGTTCTTCAGAGTCCAGCAATGAGACACTGTGAATTATAATAAATGGATTTCCAAGTTCTTCATTAAACATAATCTGCAGGGGAAGAAAATCACATATTTTAAATGCACAGTTTATAACAGAGAAATATGATCGTCACTCTTGTCCCAAAACAAACAAGCATCAGAGACCAAAGAAATAACAGGACATCGGAAGAGAATGGACAGGAGGAAGAGAAATAGAGGCGTCTCCTAGGATCCCAAGGGGGAAAAGGGATGCTTCACACAGCACACGGGAAGGGTAGTAAGTGCTCCTCCATCTAATTCACACACACTTTCTGGACTCTGCACAGTCTGGCAGAACAAACAACAACTCACCTCCCACTTTTCAGGACTATTTCCACGGTCGCCTGTTCCAATGACATACAATCTGCCCGTGCCATCTGACAAGGTAGCCCAGGTAGGGGATGTGAAATGGACAGACGCACAGAGACGATTGTCACACGCTGTCACATCTGTGGGGAGTCGGAACACCTCTCGGGGTTTTCCTAAGGCAGTGTCCTGAAACAAAAGCAAGGATTGTAAACAAATCCCTTCCGATTCCTGATCCGTACACAAGAAAAATACCTACAGTACGGCCAGCTGTTCCGTATTCAAAGCTACCGATTTCCCTTAACCAATAAAATACAGTAGACGGGAAGGTGGCAGGCAACCTCTAGGATGAGATCACAAACATTTTACATCGTCATCTTTGCTTTCATAGGTTACAGGCTGGGGGGGGTTAGATGTCAAGCTGTGGCAGTGGTCAGATAGCGGAGTAATGTAAAGGCCCACGTAGGGAGAAATGGGAGACTCCCAACAGTAACGGCACCACGGTGAAATTGCTCAGGTGTCCCATGAGAAGGCACTAGGGAGAGGGCCACTCACACTACTTGGTGATCCCTGAGCAGAGGCTGAGATGCTCACTGCTTCCTGTTTCAAGTGACTACGTTCTGCAGCTCTTCCATCAAGAGAGGCTGGTACAATACAGTAATCTCATTTCTTTCTCTTGGCTTAGTGGTTAATGATCAGTAGTGTTAATTTACTAACTAGAGTACTTCACTGCATTTCTGATGCTTATGTAGACAATATCCTACACCAGTGGTTCTCAACCTTTCCAGTGTTGTGACCTTTTAATACAGTTAATCATGCTGTGACCCCCAGCCATAAAGTTATTCTCATTGCTACTTCATAACTACAATTTTGCTACCGTTATGGTTTGCAATGTAAATATCTATTTATTGACTGGTTGGTTATTTAATGGTCTTATAGAAGACCCCTGTGAAAAGTTCCTTTGACTCCCTCAGGGGTCGTGACCCACAGGTTGAGAACCACTGTTCTACAGCAATAACAAACAAAAACCATTACAAAACCAAAACACACCTCTTCCCCTCCCCCCCCCCCCCCGCCCCAAAATCAAACAAACAGGCATTTAATAGCAGAACTCAGAACTCAGGAGGCAGAGGCAGATGGATCTCTGTGAGTGAATCTAGCATGGTCTATAGAGTGAGTTCCAGAACAGGCAGAGCTACATAAAGAAACGCTGGAGGGCTGGGCGTTGGTGGCGCACGCCTTTAATCCCAGCACTTGGGAGGCAGAGACAGGCGGATCTCTGTGAGTTCGAGGCCAGCCTGGTCTACAAGAGCTAGTTCCAGGACAGCCTCCAAAGCCACAGAGAAACCCTTTCTCGAAAAAACCAAATAAAAAAATAAAAAAAAAAAAAGAAACGCTGGAGGGCGAGGAGACCATTACATTTAGATACTACCAACTCAGATTTTTGTCAACAAATTTTCAGTTGTGTCTGCCTATAAATCTATGATAGGAAGAATCACCAAAATGTTTCGTGAGAAAATACGTTCAAAATTTATCATTTAGTAAACAAATGCTCATAAACCATCATACTATATCCAATTGTACATTGAAAAAAATCTAATTGTCAGAGTTCCCTACAGAAGGAAAGTAATCCCTAATTCATGCATTGTATTGTTTTGATTCTACAATTATTTCAATCCATATTCTTTTAATTACAAGGTTTGAAAAAAAGCACACCAACTTAGTCATCTATGAAATCATTTTTCATTTTTTACTCATGTCTTATAAACTTTGTAATGTTGAACTAAATAAGAAATATAAACTAGCAAGCACATCAAGTCTGAGTATTAGCAATGTAAAACAGGACTATATCAGCCGGGTAGTGGTGGTGCACGCCTTTAATCCCAGCACTCAGGAGGCAGAGGCAGAGGCAGGTGGATCTCTGTGAGTTCGAGGCCAGGCTGGACCGACAGCCTCCAAAACAATACAGAGAAACCCTGTCTCGTAAAAACAAAAAAAAACAAAAAACAGGACTATACCATGACAGAACGGAGATGCACCATATTAATCATACACAGAGCAGCACAGCCACCATCAGTGGACACTCGGGGTTTTAGACAAGCTGCTGCTTATGCGGACATTAGTCCCGTGTTTGCTGGCCTTGTTTCCTATAGCTTGCACTTTAGTGTGGGCAATCACTGACTAACACTATTTAAACAGTCCATTAGCACCCATTTAACGTGTCCTCTAAAGCATTCAGATCACTTGTCCATGTGGAACATGGAATATTTTTATATATGCGTCAGAGATGAATTTCCCCCAGAAGTAGTCTACTGGGCCAGTATCATCTGTTGGTGAATGTTTGTTTTCATTTAGTGGAGATTGCCATGTTGTGTTCTAAATGCGGACATGGCCATCAGGCTATGGCAAAATTCCTGTTAACTGACCTCCATCTAGCTGATTGGATTAACTGATGCTGTTCATTTCCTCTGTAAAACATCTGGACCGGAGACAGCAAACACAGGACTCATGTCCATAAAAGCAGCAGTTTGTCCCTAACACCCAGTCCTTACAGCCTGTTAAAAATGTTTTTAAAAGGTAAAATAATACTCTACCATTAGCAAAGAGAAAAGAGCAGTTAGACTTGAAATGCCTATCCCTGGCTCAGGTGTCCTTCTGGTAGACGAACTAAGTACAGGCTTCTTTAAAATGGTAAGAAATCAAATGATGTTTTACATACCCTTGGATATAATTCAGCTTATAGGAGTTTATATGGTAGTTCTACTAATATAAAGCTCAGGTATAAAGAAAAAGAAAACCTGAGCCAGTAATAACTGAGGCAGAGAGTGACAGCAGCCCCTGCATGCCGCAGAGCTAGCTTAGGAAGGTCTTGCTTTGGGTACAAAAGTCCAGTACTTATGGCATTCTTCTACCGACCGTAAATATCAGACAGACACCACGACTTCAATAGAACAAGACAAAGCAACATTACTCCATGAGAATTCCTCTGCACAAAAGACCACATCAACACTACAAACACTATAGCACCCTGTATGAGCTTCTGGACTAGTCACAGCCAGAGCTCCAAGCTGGTCTTCCTTCCCAGGCGAGACCTGGCGTAGCCATCACCCTGCCCCTCCTCCTTTACTATGGTCAATGCTAAATCCTCCCAGATGCCCCGTGGCTCTCCTTCACTTATGTTCCCCTTACTGCAAGACGCAATAAATCCCACTTGCTCACTGTGACTGTTTTGTCTAGAAAGTGCTGGCAAGGAAATAGAAAATCCACTCTAGGGAGCCCCAAGTATCAGTTAAATGTACAGAGATAGATTTGTATTGCTGACAAACAAATGATAAATAATATATATATATATGATGTTTAATATTCAGATGACCTCGTACATGCTGAAGCCAATGCTGAGGCATCAACTCACAGTAAATCACAGACAGTCACGTAACAGTGCTTAGTACCAGGAAGGGAAATAAGACTGGAGTATGACTGGGGGCAGGGGCCTGGGGGTAAAGGCAGATTTTTCCCCTTCGCTTCAAATATGTTCCTATTTTTGGGCCATACAAATAATTTGTACAGCATACAAAATTCAAGACATTAATGAAGTAAAGTAGAACGCCACAAAGCAGGTGTCCGCCGCATGGCCTGTCAGACGCACCCTAGTGAACCATCATTAAGAAAGAAGGCTCAACTAGGCAACCACAGTTCAGTAATATACAAGTGAGCGTTTTAGGCCATTTTCTTTTAAGTGCATAGCTACACATGACTGAAGTTAATAGAAGTGTAATTATCAGATAAATTGGTGCAATATATAATAGAATAATTAAGACACTCAATTATAGAAATGCAAAACCAAAATTAACTAGCTTAAGACACAGTGTCTGCCTCACTGGAGCTAAATGATAAGATGAAAACAACCCCAATGTCCCAGATTTAGAATTCAGTTCAGTTTTAAAGTGTCCCGCAATAATGCCTTATGAAGGGGACATCTCCAGTTCCAGGCTCCGCCCATCTCCCTTTCCTCACAAAAAGCACGGCAACCATACCCAAGGATATTAGAAAATTATTCTGAGGCAGCAATTCTCTGCTCATTTGCAGGACTGGAACTTTGTTGGCAAATTTAATACTCAACGAGGGACTACAGCACGAAGCATTGTCAGTTTTGGCCATCTCATTTAAACATCGCCAAAACGATGACACTGCAATCATTAACCCCAGCTTAAGAAGGGAGGTTCACACAGATAAACCTGACTGAAACCGCACTGCTACAGGAACAAGATTCCAGTCCTACGCAGTCCTGTGGATAGTTAATAGTTCTTCCCCTTAGCATTATCTTCTGGAAAAGAAACCATTATCCTAAACGAATAATACTCCAGATCTCAATGCAGCTCCCAAATACCATCTCCTAAAACAGTCACCCTGACTGCAACTACCAAACATGACACTTTAGCTATACTGGTTCCTATACCGATAAAATCCAATACAAGTCCTAATACCCATATATTATAGACAGGTGACATTAGATAGGAATAGTCAATAAGTACTCAAATGGCACGCATTTATCTAAATTAGATTGTGTGGTCCTTGTAGTTGCAACTGGAAACAGAGAAGCTTTGAATGAATGAAATTTCGTTTGTTTGTTTTTAATACTTATGCTCTTATAGGGAAACTCAAGGCTAAAAGCATGTTCAAGCAGAACTTAGGAGGTTGCCGCCCACTAGTACTGTTAGAATGGTGTTTAAAATTTTGCCCCTTAAAAAGGAGGCAAAAAAAGCCAGGTGTTGGGGGCACACGCCTTTAATCCCTGTACTCTCCAGGCAGAGACAGGCGGATCTATGTGAGTTCTAGGTCAGCCTGGTCTACAGAGCGAGTGCCAGGACAGACTCCACATGTACACAGAAAAGCCCTGTCTCAAAAAAGAAAGACAGACAGAGAGAGAGAGAGAGAGAGAGAGAGAGAGAGAGAGAGAGTAAAAAGGAAGCAAAAACCATCCACCATTGTTAAGCACTAACTTCATTTCTTACGCTTTTCCCATTTCTATTCTTATAAAGCTTTAACAACACACATTTATAATCAATTCATCTTGATCAATGTCTAGGTAAAATGAAGCATTTAACAATGTATGAAACGTTTTTCACAATTCACCCTCCCTTTTATCTTCTTCTTTCCCGGTAAAGACCTAGGTCCCATTACCTAACTGAGCTGCTCTGAATAAGCCAAGCTTCAGGCTCACCAGGAGCCCGGGGCACCCAAGGATGTGGGCTAAAAAGTAGTTATAATTTATGGCATGGCCACACAACACATGTTTACAAATGAAATTCACAACTAGAGCCTACATTTTAAAGACACCACAGAAAATGACGTTCCTGTTACTGGAGGAAACAAGACAGCCTGTCAAGTTAATAGAAGTCAGTTATGGCAGAAATACTTTAAATACTGAGAAACAACACGTTTCCTTGAATTGAGCAGTAGCAGCAATTAAAATGTTCCTCCCCTCCGCCAAGGTTTGTTTAACACCCTAAGCAGACTAGTTCCTCACTGACATTTCTCAAAGCTGGAATATCGCAAGCCTACGTTCAACTGCTTGGCTGGACGGCCTCTTCTAGCTACACTGGGCTGCTGCCATCTGCTGGCTTCTAGTAGTTAGGGAAGGAGCCTCCCACTTTCACAAGGAGTTGTCCTGCAGGTTTATTAGGGTGCTCTTTGCTCCAGCCACAGGGAAAGGCGGTGTCTCACGAGTGATATGCTCTCCACACAGCGGGTAACAGAATCCGCTGACTTAGTTTGTCGCTGGTGAAGAAAAACAGGAAGTGTGGTATTCCACTCTCCAGCACTGGGCTTCAAGATTTAGTTACTCCAGGAAAAGCACCCACAGTGCTGGATACAATTTTCAATTTCCAGACCACCCGTCAGCCACGACACACTGATTCAGAGTCCTTGGAAATGGAATCCTGAAATGAGTTCTTATGTTAGCCAATTACTCTACATGACCCTGAGGTGAAATGGATTGGAAAATCAAAGAAAGAAGATGAATTAGTGGGGCAAAAAACAAAACAAAAAACCCTAAAACCTGGCTTTTTATAATATAATCTATACTATTATAATAATGATTTTTTAAAAACTTGATTGAGTAAAAAGAGGAATATTACAAAAAAGGGAAAAAGCAATAACTAAACTAAAAATGTATAACCACTTTCTCTAAGTTGCCCAGAGAAGACAAATTAGGACAGAAAGAAAACGAATTTCAAAAGTATTGGTATTTGCCCCAATTACACATCAAATAATATGTTTGGGTATAGTTATAGTAACTCGCTTTCATCCAACAGATGAAAATACTTGGACCAACCCACAACGTTTACATAGACGTCCAGTGAAATTAAGTCTTATCTCAGATTTCTAATCAAGTATTTGTGATTTAAGTTGGGCGTGGTACTCCAAATCTTGGTCATTATCAAGACAACTGATAACAACCAGGCTTGGGACTCTAACTGCAACCCTGTGCACACACCCCTCGAGCTCAGCGTGGTGCCTACAGGCAGGCACTGTGCCCTAACTCTGCCACCTGTGCTTCTGTTGCCAGGATACCCATCGTCCGACCGAGCAGCTGCTCTCTTCTTTCTTTCCTTTGTTTAGAGTTGTGTCATGTGGCTCCACTTGCCTCTAACTTATGATCGTCCTGTTTCCATGTTCTGAGTGATGTGAATCCAGATGGGCAGCATCGCATCCAGCTCCCGTGAGGCAAACTCTAACTCATCCTTCACAGCGCTGCTGAGCGGACATCTCCATGCGGGGACCACTCGGGTACCCTGAGCACTGCACCCCAAACAGCTGTCACTTCCTGTCTGTACTGTTCTGCATCTTACTGCTGCACTTTACTCTGGCATGCTATCAATTTATTTGTGACCAACCATATAGTCAAAAAAAGGTTTCTTTACTTGGGAACTTAATTTATTTCAAAAACTCAACTTAGAATATGTATTCATGTGTGTGAAAAATTAATAGAATTAAGACAGAATAAGAAGGGTTAGAAACGAGCCTCATATAGAGTGTTAATGGAACTTTCCCCTTCAAGGAGAACCACTAGGTTTTATCGAAAATAGTCCCCAAGAACAATCTACTTCCATTTCACTAAGAAAATTTGGAGAGAAAAAAGAACACTGATGAACAATGGTGGAAAATTTCAAAGCACATACACAGGTCAAAAGTAGGCCAAATTGATCCTAAGCACACAATACAAGTAGCTTGGACACTGTTCAGATGACAAAGACCAAAAGAGGCAGCTGAATTTAAGTAGTCTGAATCATCTTTCACAAAAAGAAAAGGGATGCAAGAAAGACGAGGGAATCACGGCGCCTACATTAACTGCCCATCTTCTTCCCTTACGTTTCCTAAAGAGGCTCACTCTTCCCGCCTTCCTCGCCCATTCAAGTCAGTAATCATAAACTCTAGCGACTGTGACATAAGAACTTGAGGAAATGATTTGACAGGAGTTAAAAATGGATACAGAGTACAAGTGGTGATTTCAAAGGTACAAAGTCACCTGTAGACCATGCAGGCCTGTAGGTTTTACCTGTAAGTTTCCCTGCCCACAGATCCAAAGGCCTGAATGAAGGAAAGGACCATTATACCTGGAATTCAAACAGTGCATTGTGTGGGACGAGCCATCAAGATGTATGTAAAGATAAAATCGTGTTCCAGACTTGGTCTCATGTCATCATGGCTGGCTGGTATTCTGTATGCCTGATTTGGACAGGAACTTCTACCAACTAAAAAAATAAATAAATCAAAAATCTTATGGAGCAGATGAAAACACAGAGCTGTCCCTAGAGCCACTGTGAGGAAAGCAAACACTGGAAAAAAACATAGGTGAGAGGACCCTTATCCACTGGTGGTGGCAGGGTGGCTACCGTGGAAACCAGGGCAGGGGCTTCTCAGAACACTAGTCAGAGGACTAACAGGTGAGCCAGCTACACCACTTCTAGACCGTATACATAAACCCAGAGTTACATGCATACTCCAAGGAAATGGAGTCAGGCTAGATGTCCATCAACAGCAGGATGGATAATGCAGATGTGGAACTCATATACGATGGCATTTATGAAATTATGGGTAGACTGCACAATACTGTATACCAAGAGAACCCAGGCACAGATAAACAGAACCTAGACTCCAGGTGTTAAATGTGTGTTTCCAGATGGGCGTAGCTAAGAGTAAAAGCAGGAAACTAGCAAAAGGCCCAAGTGACTAAAGAGGAAAAGACGTGTGAAGAGGGTGGAGAGTGGGGCAACGCCAGGGTCAAAGGTTACAGCAGGCAAAGGGGGACAGAGAGAAAACGGGAGTAAAGGAGGACTCTATAACATCAAAAAGAAATCACATCCGAAAGGAGTAGACAGCAGGAAATAATCCAACTCGGGGCTGAAGTCAGTAGAGCAGAAACAAACAAACAACAACCAAAAGTAAAACAAAACAAAAACAAAGACCAAATACAAAGAGTTAATGAAGCACAGAGTTGGGTTTTTGAGAAAAATCAGTAAGATGGACAAACCATTTATCCAAATTAACTACTATTTACAAAAGATACACTTTAACCCTTTGAAAGTGACGATGCCGACTGATTCAAAGAAAAAAGAAAAGAACACTGTGTGTGGACCTGTGAGTGTCACCACACCAGGGCTTCTGACACAGGCTCTAGATGTGGAACTCACATGCACAGGAGGCAGCACTTTATATCTACTGAGATTTCTCCCTAAACAGAATATAGTTTTGTTTTTTTCGAGACAGGGTTTCTCTGTGGCTTTGGAGGCTGTCTTGGAACTAGCTCTTGTAGACCAGGCTGGTCTTGAACTCACAGAGATCCGCCTGCCTCTGCCTCCCGAGTGCTGGGATTAAAGGCGTGTACCACCAACGCCCAGCTCAGGACTACGTCTTAATGCTAACGTAAGTGTTACATAGTTTAAATGACATAACATAAACACTAACTGACATGGAAAAGAAGAAATCCTTTATTACACTGAGGATTTACCACACACGGGTGGAAATGGCTGGGTACCGGGATTACAGAGTAAAAGCTAGATTGACGTAAGCAGAAAGGCAGCCTTACTGCTTGACAACAGGTCTCCACGTTCCAAAGGTGTGCTCACCTGACTGTCTGGACATCAGACTCAGAGAGATTAAAGAACAAACGGAACAGGGTGAGCTCTGTCTTTACACTCTGCATGTTTTTCTTACCAGCATCACGGTTAAGTTCATAATTCTCCCAAGGTTATCAATGTAGTAGACGCTGTCTTGATACCAGGCATCGCAGTGCAGATAATTATACATCCCAAAAGCATGCATGTGCTCCAGCGTATACTGGTCATCCCGAAGTTTCACTTCTGCCACAGCTGAAATAAACACATATATTTACATGCACCTGTATGTATATACAGATAGGAACACATCATCAAACCTGCACCAAGGATAAGTCATTTCTGCAGAATGCCTAAGGGCACAGAAACCTGGGCAATGCCGGCTACAGAGACTGCAACAAGCAGGACTTGCACAGTGCAATCTTTTCCTTTTATTACCTCTGCAATTCTGAGTTACAAGGACAGAAATCCTAAAAGCATGGGTTGGGGGGCTAGGGCAGGGGCATGGGAGGGTGGGAGGGAGAGGGAACTGTGATTGATACATAAAATAAGATAAAATAAAAGAAAGAAAGAAATTCTAAAAGCAAAGGACTTGTAATCTATGGGCAAACAAGCCCCAGTGTATGAAGCATTCCTACCCCAGTATGTCATTCATCTTTATCACGCATAAGAGACAATGGCTGCATTCTATGGTTATACAGTTAGGATACTATGCATAAAGACAAACAGTAACTTCACCATCATGTTGTATTTACAGAATAAAACAAGATCATGGTCAGGACATATACAAGGTTTTCTATGTATGGAACAGGGTCTCTGAACTGAAAACATCAGCTGTTTGCCTAATTCTGAATTGGCCAAGTATAGTCTCCCCCTCACACTTCTGTGCGGTGACGAACTTGTAGCTCAGGGCTACTCATGCCCCACAACTCACTTCTGTCGTGACAATGAGAAAATTAAATAGGCTGCACTGACCCTGCACGTCACCTTTCCGTAAAACTCACTGGAACGCTAGTCTCCACCGGCTCCTTTAGTTTGCTTTCTGTTGCTGTGGTGAACACCACGGCCAAAAGCAATGCCGGACAGGAAGGGGTTAATTCCAGCTTGCGCTTTCAGGTCACAGTTCATCACTGAGGGAAGTCAGGACGGGAACTGGAGCAGAACCCATGGAGGACTGCTGTTGCTCACCGGCTCGCCTCCTGTGACCTGTGCTCGGCCTGCTTTCTCGTACTTAGCCTATCTGTCTCCCATCCGCCCGGAGGTGCCACTTCCGTAGTGGGCTGGGCCCCCACGTCGATCAGCAACCACACAGGGCCAACCTCTGTTGAGACGCCCTCTTCTGGGTAACTCTTAATTGTGTCAAGCTGACAGTAAAAACCATCCGGGGCCGGACCATTTGTTTTCTTTCATTTGATTCTGCACATGTGTTTGTCTGCGTGAATGTAACCGTGTGCCTGGTGCCTGCGGAGGCCAGAAGCATCCTTTGGGCTGGGGTTACAGAAGCTTCTGAGCCGCCATTTAGGCTCTGGGCACTGACCCCTCTGAAAGAGCAGCTATTCACATCCATGGTCAAGACCAGAGAGAGAATGAATGCACGCTCAGTGCTAAACTCATGCCCCCCCCGTCACTCAAGCCAGCGCCTAACCCATCAAACAGGGCCACGACATTCAAGATCTGCCTTTCCACCTCAGCCAACTGAGCAATTAATTAATTAACCTCAATCAATTCTCACAATCACGCCCACGGGTCAGCTTAATCTATTCCTTACTGAGATTTCCTTCGCAGTGGTTCCAGATTGTGTCGAGGTGACGATGAGAACGTGTCACCTCCCTGGCTCTGTAAAGCACGAGAGCTATGTGCCAAGAATAGCTGCAGATGTGTGCAGCTGGAGAAGGAGGGCAGAAATCAGATTCCTATAACCTAATTGGACTTTACCTTCATCTCTGGCTTTCTAAACTCACGGTGGGGGTCCATCTGCTTCTAAACAGGAGAGGAAGGGCCAGAACTGAGCTCCTGAGACGCAGTTACAAATAAGGTGTGGAAAACTGACTGCAGCATTGAGGGGGCAAAACCAACAGCCACCGAGGTCAGCCAAGTCACACCCAAGAAGGGTGACTGAAGTCTGGAAACATTTCAGACCTGACAGGCCAAATCCCACGTTTCCGAGAGTGCTGGTGGGGGCTGCGGAATGTCCCCTCTAGTTTAAGGAAGTAATTATTTTATAAGGAATGGTTAGAAACAGATGCTCTACCAAGTAGGAAGGGAACAGTGGCCAACTGTTGGTTTTCTAGCACCACTGTGTGGATGAAGCTTAATAATGCAGGAAGCGTGTATGAACGTAATGATATTAGACAATAATGAGCCAAGTATGTTCTTGTCATATTTGGATAAAAAGCCCTGGATAACCTTAAACAAACCAAAAAGTCTCTTAACCTTTTGTCTCATTATATAATACCACCCACAAACATGCATAGATCTGGGTTTGATGGATGGATTTCTACAAGACAATTCTCATGTCATCAGAGTACAAAAGCCAGCATTGGGTATATGAAATGATGACTATTTTACAAAACTGTTAGTTTACAGACAAAGGCTACCTCTCTGGCCCCAACTGAGAAAGAATAGTGGTAACTGCATTTATCACTCCAGTCATCTTAAATACAAAGAGGGGATGCAGAGCACCCCAAAAGAAGAAAGCAATGTTCATCCTGGCAGAAACTGAAGCAGCAGAAAAACTTCCAAAAAGCCTGCCCATCCCAAGAAAGGGAGGAGGGGCCCAGGACAGACATGGTCTCTCTTGGATCTTTGAAACTGGCTAAGACCACTTTTCAGAGAGAGCCAAAGGTTAATGTTTTATTGTTTAATGTTACCATGCATTGTAAAAAAGCATTGTGTGAAAAAGTTATTGTGTGAGTTTTTTATATAAAGAACTCAGGATCCAAGAAGGAACTCTGCCCTAAACCTTACAATGTCCGCCCCCAATCAACCCTCAAAAGACCACTATGTTACACGTTGACTATCTATCACAGGCCAGGCATGGACTGCACTGGGCCTTGGGCACATACTGCTAAGAAAAGCAGACCTTACTCCTGTGCTAATGGTGTTAAATATGCTACTAGTTACTTCTTCTTGGATTCTTGAAATACGCTATTATGCTGAACCACATGAAATGAACTCCTGGCCAAAGAAGTATGCAGCAATCTAATATGTGTATATATAAGTGCTACAGTTTACAATGGGGGGCACAAAGAACATTGTTGCAAGGTTGGCTTTGAGACCACGAGCAAAGTAACTCTTTTCCTTTAAGTTGTGACACTAGGGAGTGAGTAACAGTCTCCCACACTCCTCAAACCTCAAACAGAAAAAATCAATAGTTTTCATACATACTAATAATGAGCTTGCTGAGAAATAAGGAACCAACCAACCTAGAAATAAACCTTACTGAGGAAGTGAAAGAGCTCTACAATGAAAACTTTTAAGATACTAGAAAAAATAAATCAAAGATGATACTAGATCATGATCATGGACTGGATGAATTAACATTGTAAGAATCGCTATATTACCAAAATGTTTCTATAAACTCAATGCAACCCCCTTCAAGATTCCATGGCAGTCCTCATAGAAATAACCCCAAAATTCACATGGAAATGCATAAGACCATAAAGAATCAGAGTGTGGTGATATATTGTTTCTCATCTAATAAAGCTTGAAGATCAGAATGCAAAGCTAGCCACGGTCATAGAGACCAGGCAGTGGTGGTACACACCTTTAATCCCAGCAGACACACTAGTTGGCCATAGAGGCTGGGTAGCGGTGGTGTAGGCCTTTAGTACCAACACAGAAGCTCAGGGTGTCATGCGGTGTTAGGTCTCCAGTCAAGCTGAGGATAGGATCTCCCAGCCTTGGTAGAGGTAAGAACTCTCTAGTGGTTGGCTGCTTTGCTTTTCTGATCTTCAGCTTGAATCCTAATATCTGTTTCTGGGTTTTTATCATCGGTACCACATCAAAGCAATTCTAAACAGTATTACTGGAGGTATCAAATATCTGACATTATTCTACTGACACAATGACAGAGACAGCATGACACCAGCATGCAAACAGACACGGAGACCACACGGGACAGGCGGAGGACCAAACACCAACCCACACAGCTGTGACTACCAAATTTTCACAAAGGTTTCAAAACATAGCCGGAAAAAAAGACAGCTTATTCAACAGATCCTTCATAATAATCATTTCAAACTTCACCAAAGATCTTCATTGAAAACCTGAAATATTGAAACAGCTACAAGAAACCAAAGGGAATATACTTCAAGACATAGGTACAGACAGAAACTTTTGAATAAGACTTCATCAGCACAGGAAGTAGCCACAGGAATTAATAAAAGAGATACATAAAATTAAATTGTTTCTGCAAAGCAAAGAAGCTATCAGCATAGTGAAATGATAGGCTATGGAATGAGACAAAATCTTTACCAACTATACTTCAGACAAGGGGTTAATAACTAACCATACCAAAAAACTACAAAAATTAAAACACACATATCACATCACATGCACAGTTTTTTTTTAAGTGTTTCACTTCCTTGGCAATCAGAAAAAAGCAAATTAAAACTACTTTGAGATTCAGTCAGAATGTCTATGCAACAAATAATGACGAGCTCTTATTCACCACTGGTGGGAGTTTAAACTAGTTACAGCCATACAGAAATCACTATGAAGGTTCCTCAAAACTTAGCACTACCCAGCTACACCACTTGTGGGCATGTACCCAGAGAAATCTATACCCTACCACCGAGAGATCCGTGTACACCCAAGTCACTGCCTGCCGCTCTGTTCACAATAGCTAGGAAACAGAACCAATCCAGATGTTCAACAGATGTATGAATAAAGGAAAATTATCACCTTGGAGCTTTACGCTCTGCTAGGGCCGTCCAACTGCGACTCTTGATTTGATCATTTACTTAATTTGCTTTGGCCAACAGAACAAGTGGAAACTCGTTGAGATCACACTGAAAACAGTGTTTGTGCGCTGTGACCTACCTCCTGCAAAAGGCCTGTGCTGGCCTGCTGAAGGAGGACCAACCACACGGAGGACTCAAGTCAAGACCGTCTGCCCAATTCTGAAACAAGCCAGCAAGCCCTCTAGAAAGTCGAACCAAGACGACCAGAACTGTCTGTGCCAACCCGTAACTGAGCAAAGATGCAGGATGCAGGAATGAGCCCTGGGCGGATGAGGACCTGCCGACCTGTGCATGTGACAGCGACAACACCTTCTGGTTTGAGCCAACAGGCTTTATTCCTTTAGGTGTTTTGTTCCCCGGGAGCTGGCTAACTGAACACAGCAGTTATAATGTATTGGCATGGAGACAAAACTATCAAGACACTCAAGAGAAAGAGTAAAAGAAAGCTCTTTTAGATTGTCCACCAGTGACCTGCCTATCCCTGTATCACTCACTTACTGACTCCTCCAGGAAGCCTTTCTAGATTTCAGGTTGAGCAAACATACTGAGTTGCACCATTACATTCTGCTCACATCACTATCACTGCTCGCCCATGACTGTAATTAGATGCTTCTTCGTAAATGGAGTCTGATCTGTTAGGCACTGAACTGCTTCACTCCGATCCTGTAATCATCATAAAGCAACACAAAACAGACACACGACAATCACTTCTAAATTGAAGAAACAAATTAGAAAACAGGCATTTGTTGGGCTGCATGGGGGCCACGGGGAGCCGACGGGAGGCAGAGGCAGCTGGACCTCTGTGAGTTCCGGGCCAGCCTAGTCTACAAAGCAAGTGCCAAGGCAGACAGTCGAGGCTACAGAGTCTCTGTCTAAACAAACGAACAAACAAATATCAGCCCCTGCTGGATGCACAAACGTCTACTGATCCTTCTGGATCCTTCTCAAAGGGAGACCCTGGGAAAAACGTGTGTCAAAACCAGAATTCGCAGAGGCATGTATTTAAAAACACAAAACCTCTGGGCGCTTTCGTTAACAAAACTGCAGTTCTTAGCGTTGTAAAAAAGGAAGATGAGAGTAGCTTCTGGCCAGTTACAAAGTAGCAAAATAGCAAGGGCACTACATCACTTACTTCCCCTCAATAAATCGCAGGGTGTGTGTGTGTGTGTGTGTGTGTGTGTGTGTGTGTGTGTGTGTGGGTGTGTGTGTGTGTGTGTGTGTGTGTGTGTGTGTGTGTGTGTACCTGGATACTTGAAACTGCTCACTGAACCTGGAAATTTTTCTCGTGTGTGTGTGTGTGTGTGTGTACCTGGGTACTTGAAACTGCTCACTGAATGTGGGAGTGTGTGTGTGTGTGTGTGTGTGTGTCTGTGTGCGTGAGTGTCAGGACCTGGTGTGTGCGCGTGTGTGTGTCTGGACCTGGGTACTTGAAACTGCTCGCTGAACGTGGAAAAATTTCTCCCAAGAAATAGGGATGCGTCAGAAGGAGAGGGATTTTCCAGGGAGGTGTGGCTTCTTCCCGGAGACCACGTTTGCACAAGGCGCTCGGGGAGGGAGAGGCAGCCACAGCAGCAGCCCGAAGCAGGGACGCACGGGCGGGGGAGCCCCTCCGGGCTCTTGGGCTGCGGGTGCAGGGGAGCTCCCGGGGGGTCCTCGCGCGGAAGGCCGGCGTGCCAGGCCGGCCAGGGTCGCGCCATTGGCAGCCGAACCCCAAGGGCGCCGCCGCATCCCACCTGCATCGAGCCCCAGCTGGTAGCAGGGCAGCGGCTCGAGAGACAGCTTGTAGCCCTCGAAGCGGGGGTCCAGCAGGGGTCTCTTCACCCGCAGGGAGCAATGGGCGGCCTCCATCGCGTGCCGGGGTGGGGGGGGAGCGCGGCGAGAGGAACCAATAAAGCTCTTGTTGAAAGCTGCGCGCCTCGCGCCGGGAGGGAACGCAGGGTGGGAAAGCGGCGTGCTTCCCATCCCAGACGCCCCCGCGGCGCCGCGGCGCTTCTGGGAAATGTAGTGCCCGTGAGCCGGCCGGCCCCGCTGCATGCTGGGAAACGTAGTTTCCCCCCGTACCCGGACGCCCTGCCGCTGACCCGTCTCCGGACTACCTTACCCAGAGGCCCGAGCGCGCCGAAGGCGGCCCGCGCTCAGTTGAATTCTCACATTTATATAGGCGAGGGTGGCCGTATTTCCCCGCCTCCGGAAATGCGTGGTCTCTAGCTCTCTGTATGTGTGTGTGTGTGTGCTTAGGTGCCCGAGCTACTGAGGGTCTAAGTCCGGGCAGCCAAGAGAGTGTGGTAGGTAAACGGTGGTCAGCGCCCAGGGTCATTTCGTCGCTGGGAAGGGACGGCCCTCGCCCGCGGTGATGGTGGTGAGCTATGCCCGTTGGTCCTCAGGGGCCGGGACCCGGGCCCAGCCCAGGCTCCTTTCGATGTGCTGTCTTCTCGTTAGCTTCCCCGACCCCGCCGCGCTCGCCCGCTCGCCCGCGGGGCCTGCAGGGCTCTCGGGCAGCCGGGCAGGGGCAGGGGCGGCCGGGGCAAGGCAGGCAGGCAGGGCGAGCGTGCTGCCCCGAGCTGGCCCCGAGCCAGGGCTCGCTTTGTGCTCTGGCTCCTCCCCTCCCGCCTCTCCAGCTGTCCCCCCGCAGGGTTGCATTCTCCCCTCCACCCCCCAAGGATGTCACAGCCCCGAGGGTCACCCGCCCCTCCCCCGCGGGCGCCCCCTCCCCCCGTTTGACCAGCGAGAACACGGAGGCCTCGAGGGATTTTTTTTTTTTTTACCCCTACTTGTCCAAGGTCACCCCAGCCCCTGGGAGGTGAAGTTTTCGCCCGCGTTCTTCGCCCTGGGTCTTGAGCAAACTTTGCAGTTATCTGGGGGTTGGGGGTTGGGGTTGGGGGCGGTGGGGGTTGGGGAGGGAGGATGCGAAGCTCCCACTGCAGAAGGCAAGCGTTAAAAACCTGGTGGAGGTGGTGGTGGTGGTGGTTTCGCCCTCCGGTGCCCAACCCAACCCCTCTGGGGACTCTGGAGTTTTGTCGGTCTTTTGAGGTTTTTTTTTTTTTTTTTTTTTCCCGCGGACGCGAGGTGGGCAAGTGACTCGAGTCGTCTCAAGTTAGTGACAACGACGTAGGGGAGACAGTAACTTAGACCTGATTGTGACTTTGAACCTTCAGATGGCAAAAATGCCCTCAAAACTTAGATCTTGCCCTTTTTTTTCTTAACTCCCCCCCCCCCACACACACACCGATTTAGGCATTTGGTTGTTTTGAATGAAAATGGAGGGTTTTTCTCGATTAAGAACTAGTTTGAGATCTGGTTTCCCTTATCCTAAGGGTTTCCAGTCCTAAGTGTATTTTGTGGGCACAGAAAGCCCCAGCTAGGGTGGCACTTGCAATTAATTCTCAGTGAATTTTAGTCAAGAGTGAAGCACGTGGGGGGTCTAATTTCTTCTTTCATAATAGTGTCTTTTTGTTGTTGTTGCTGCTGTTGTTGTTGGGATACATACTGCATGGCTGGCCGCGGTGAAGATGCAGAAATGAGCAGTGGCCAGTTATTTGATGTACCGCTAAATGAGGTGTTTGGGGCTCCTGGCGTCTGAGGAGCTGAGTTCAAATCCACCCATCACCGTTTTCTGTCTCTGTGCCTCAGTGTTCCCATCTGTAAAACACAGTTGTGTTCACAGAGGATGTCTGGGAGTTAAATATGCTCAGATTTAGGTAGTAAGTGCTAGATAATGTCACCATAGTAGTTGTCCCCTAAGCTCATTAATAAAGAGCATGGAAGGGAAGGGGAGAGACACCATAGCACATATGAAATAAGACTAAGGATAATGATACCATGTAACATGCTGGAAATTCTCGTCCTCTCCTTGCTAGAATGTTCACTGTGTTGTTAGGATGGTTGTCTAGAGAGAGGACTCAGAAGGAAACAGTTTTCTAAATATTGTGTATCTCAAAATGCATGTCGATGTCCAGGTTAGCAAGATGAACAAAGATGCGCAGATGAGAGCAGCGATTAACCAAAAGTTAATAGAAACTGGAGAAAGAGAACGGTGAGTAACCAACTGTATTGATTAACTAGGTTTTGCCATCTGTAACGGTTCTGTTATGTTGGAGGAGTTTCTAGTGTCCGAGGGATAAAACCTGTCTGGAAAGAACTAGAGAAAAGGGAAGATTCCCAGAGGTTTTTTCTGTTCTTAACATCTACAATAGTTTGACTCAGCGTTGCCAGATTTGGAGTCATGTCCAAAGATAAGCAGGAAATGACGCTGCCAAAGCACGTTTAACAAAATGGAGAGGGGACAACACGGACACAAACTGCAGCCGGAGAGTATCGCCCAGGGTTTAACCCAGAACCAACAGTTTACGTTACCTGGTGCCCTTACTGAGCAGTGTGTGCCGTTACTAGTTTCTGAAGTGCTTTCTTCCTCTTATCCGATATCCAGTTATGTATCTGCAAATCCTAGCTCTTGTAGCCACTGTTATTCCATTAGTTTATGGTCTTCAGTGTAATGTAATCCAGGTTCCAGGGCAGAATTACCTTTGTATATTCACTGTGTAATGCTATGCATAAGCCCTAATTTAAGGAGCAAATGTTTAGAGAGAGGAAGGACTGCGAACCACGGAAAGGCTCTCAGAGCAGGCTAATAGAATTTAGAAAAGCAAAGTGTAGATGAGCTACAGGAACAGAGGACCCTCTTCCATTTCGCCTGGAGGTGAGTGGGTAAATTTCAATAGTGAAAGAATTTCACCCGGGGTAGCAGAAGATTCTGCAGTTCTCTAGTCAGAAAGGGAAAGGACGCTATAGGCATGTGGGACAGGATCCGCAGAGCTTTGGTACCTGAAGAGTGCTGGGGGCTGCAGGTTCCAGGGAAAGTGTGAGAGCTGTGGCTGGGGCAGTGGACAGCAGTGTGCAGTTCTGTGTGAGAATTCGTCCATTGACAACATTCTGAATGTCAAAGCTGTTTTAACCATCTCATTAACACTGGAGATTTGAAGGTGCGTTTTACATCGTTGAGTTCAGGCACTTAGAAATTGTCGCCAGATTACCCTTTCCTCTCTCAGCTCTCCTCTCCTTTGTTGTCTTTATTCTCAAACAGGCCCTACCCACAGGTGGCAGAGATTAGCAGTTCAAAATTTACATTCCACCAGCTCAGAGTACCTTTCTCAGCAAAGAGCCTCACTTGATTACATCTTGCTTAGGTAATAGGCGAGCTATGATCAGCCTTGCCCAGGTCGTATTTCACATTACAGGAACCTTGTCCAGATTTGTGTAGGGAGAGTGACACAGGAGTGTTGCTTGCTCTTCTGTCACAGAGCAGAGACCTGAGTTTGCACAAGCATTGTTGCTGTCTTTATCCTTAGATAATGGGAATTAGAAAGAATTTCTGAAAGGGGAATGACTAGGTTACATTTTCATTGTAGGGATACTATTTTGGCTGTATGAATGTAGATTTGAAGGGGCCAAGATACATGGTAGAAAGGTAATGGGGGTAAAGGTCAAAAGAAGCAAAAATTTGGAAAGGAGAATGTACCTGTGTCCCTTTTCAAAATGGAAAGGAAAAATAGACATACATATGAAGAAAGAGGTGTCAGACGTAGTGCTGGGGTGATAGTAATGTATTTAGAGAATCAGAGTTTTCTTTTTAATCATGCAGTATCATGTACCATCATCTGTCGGTGCCTGGGATAGAGTAGCAAAGTGTACTTTCACGGGATTTACATTTTAATGGCAGGAAACACATCATCACTGTGTAATATGTCACACAAGGAAACAGTAAAGCAAGGGCTATGCAGGGAGGGTGATGTTTTAGACAGAAGAAGTGAAGCATCTCTTGTAAGGGATGAGAAGGCAGAGCGTGTTTGGTCTGTGGCAGAATCTGAGAATATTGCCCTGGGTAAATTGGGAAGGCACTGGAAGATTTCATTTGAAGAGAATGTTGCGATCAGGAGACAGGGAGGTAGTGACGGATGTTAGGTGTAGGTCCAGACAGGAAAAGATGGTGACTGGAACTAGGAGACTCTTGACCCAGAGGCTTAAAGCTGAAACTGCAGGATTGACTCATACATGTCATGTGTATCGAGATGTAGGATACTCCCAAGTTGTAGCCCCAGGAACCAGAAGGATGAGATTGAAGGAGGAGAGAAAGTGGGAGGGAAAGCGAAGTTAGGTTTGGCTCTTGCAACTGAAAGACCCATTAGGCATCAAGATAGGCGGATCGCACAGTGTATCCTTAGGGATATTGAAAGGGGTGGCTTGCAGGGAAAGTTTAAGACAACACATTTAAACAAATTATTTCAGTTATGGGCTTTGAATTTACAGAACTGGGTGTGACAAAGGGATAGCAAAATATTTTCTTTGTCACTAATTGGTAAGCATTCTCAGCATTAAGAAGAAACCCCTGTTAATTAACTTGCAATAGCCATGCCAGCTGCTGAAGCCGGGAAGTGGGGAGAGCCATGGATCAGCTTAAGACTAGTCACCGGCTGCATTTGGACCCTGAAGATAAGTGAGGCCAAGAACTGGCTTGTGTAACAGCAGAGCACTAATTAATGACTCAGGAGTAGACCCCAGTTAAGGTCTGGGAACAGAAAGCAGGGCTTTTACTTGAACAGTTTGTACTAGTACATTGCTTCATGCTTCAGACATTCCTGTCTAAAGTACCTCGCGTGGATTAATTTGGAAACATTTCCTTTTTAAACAGCCTCAAAGAGTTGCTGAGAGCTAAATTAATCGAGTGCGGCTGGAAGGATCAGTTGAAGGCACACTGTAAAGGTAATCAGTTCACTTAAACAAGCTGTGCCTCTTGCTCTGAACTGGGTGGGTCTGGGAGCCATCGCAAGACAGTATAGTTCACATCTTACAGCGTAGGTCGTCAAGCATCATTGTAAGCAAATAGGAAATCAAGTCTTGTGGTGAGAGCTTCCTTCTCGGTAATATTTCTAGCTGAATTCCTGAAGTTTTAGAATTTTCCACATATTTTCCAAAAGTGAAACATAAGTACCAAGGATCCTCAGGGGCCAAAATCTGGTGGCCTGTGTTTTTAGGTAAGGGGAGTAATCCTGATGTACTTTCCTTAATATTAGTACTTGGTGCTTGATAGACATAGTATCATATGTTTTCTAAAGGTGTTATCAGGGGATTAAGCGGATTGTAGAAAATACTAGATTTTTCTGGTTTTGGTAGCTATTGTTGATATTACATGTGCTTTTAAAATGAACTCCCTTTCTGGCTGAACCTTTCGTATAGTGAAATGAGTTGTCTTTCCTACGTTCTAAGGCATTTTGGAAAGTTAGTGAAAGAGGGAAACTGAGTCGTGCAAACCTTCACTGCTGGAGTTCGTTTTCTGCCTCGTACAAATGAACTTCTTTGCACTCCAGCTTCCTCACCTTGGCCATAGAAGTTGTGAGTGTTGAAAGTTGTCAGCAGCTAACAGGGTCCCAGCAAATGTTGATTGTAGTCCCTCTTCATTTCCTTTGGTCCCGTCTAGAGAAGAGAAAAAAGAGCAAGCTACCTCTCCCATCTTAATTCTTGCCTATAAAGTTATAAAGTAGGCTCCAATAATACATTTTAGTTCCTAATCTAATCATAGTAAAACCTGTTGAGTTATAAACATCCACCCAGCTTTTTACAGAAGTTAGATTTGACACTACAGGGTTCTGATTTATGCTAAGTATTCCAGCTGTTTGTTTGCCTAAGTTATTTAGAGGAAGGATGAGGCAACTGTATATAATGTGGAGATTAATACATTTATGAGGCTATAAATGGTCACTGAAAAAGAAGTGTCCTCTTTTTATTTAAAGACCAATCTATACTCTAAAAACATGATTTTAATCCTTCCTCTATGAAAATCTTTCTTACAGATAATGATTTTAAATGATATGATTTGTTTTTTGCTTTTGCATAAGAGGTAATTAAAGAAAAAGGACTAGAACACGTTACTGTTGATGACTTGGTGGCTGAAATCACTCCAAAAGGCAGAGGTAAGAAGCACAAATTGTATCAGGGGAAATAAAGGCTTTCTGTAGGAAAACATCCTTGGCAAAGTCATGGATTTGTTCTTCCTGAAGGAAGAGTTTTAAGAGTACGGTTGCGTAGCTGACTGTTAGAGCTAGCTAGAGCAATCAGGATAAATAAACACAAACACTGCTTGCAGAATTAGGTTGGTGGTTGGTAAGGCAGATTTTTTTGTTTGTTTGTTTTGTTTTTTGTTTTTACGAGACAGAGTTTCTCTGTATTGTTTTGGAGACTGTCGGTCCAGCCCGGCCTTGAACTCACAGAGATCCGCCTGCCTCTGCCTCCCGAGTGCTGGGATTAAAGGCGTGCGCCACCACCGCCCGGCAAGGCAGATCATTTTTGACTTGAGATTTTATACAGGGAAATGTCACCTGAAGCTTGGATTTATAAACTTTATTAGATAAGGCTTGATTCCACGTAAATATTTAATAATTCAAAGTTTTACTCCAGTCCTGAGTCATTGTCCTACTCTCTCCTTATTAAAAATAAATGAAAGTCTCTCTTGAATGTCTGATCGAGAATTTGGTAATTCAGAATGATACATGTTTAAGACTTAGAAGTGAAAGCATCTAAATTAGCTGAGTTATGGGATGTCTTTACACATAGTCACAGTCAAAATCACCTGCTTATAAAATAAATGTCTGAAATTACTACAGACTAGAAATTCCCTATTGAGAATGAAATATAAAAACCCATGGTCTGTTTTCTTAAAGTTTATTTACAACTGGAAAACGTTTGTTTTGTTTTGTTTTTGTTTTTTTCATGTATGCCTCAGGAAAAATATTTGTTGGGGTTTATACTTTAGGCTAGTTTCTCTGATTTCTGTTTCTCTCCCCCCCCCCATCTGTTAACATTGCTTAACATTGTTTATTTAAGTAAGAAAGTGTCCTCTGTTTCTCTTCAGCATTGCCATCTTGGATATGTTCCTATCTTGTAGCTTTTCTATTGATATCTAGCAAAATTAACCTTTTTTAAGATTATATTTACAAAATTTTTTCTTTCCCTTTTCTCCTTCTTTCCCATCCCTCCCCCACTTCTTCAGATTTATGGCCTTTGTTTAAAGAAAAGTTGAATGTATTTTGTACACATGGATAGATTCTTTTAGCCACCACCTCAAGAAGGTTATAAACTATTCCTTCACCCCTTCCCCAAATAGAAATTCCCTCCAGCTCTCTGGATGACTTTATACTCAGATTCTACCAAGGTGACTTGGCTTGGTGTCAGTCTTGTTTAAGTCAGACGTACCTGTGTATTTTCAAATGGACTTGTATGTATCTAGTTTAAAGAATTCCCAGACTTGCTTCTTATTGATGTGCTACATGTTTAGGTTTTAAATGTTAAGTCCTGATTTCATCTTTTTGTTTGTTAATTCGACCATGAGAGTTGTGTGAAATCCCTGAATTGGTAACTTGTAATAAAATATTACGTCATATTGATGTGTGCTCACTGGAGTCCTCTGACTTTGATGTTTGGTTTTTATGTTTCAGCCCTGGTACCTGACAGTGTAAAGAAGGAACTCCTACAAAGAATAAGAACATTCCTTGCTCAGCACGCCAGTCTTTAAGGGAGAACTAGAATGTGTTGTTCTGTGGATTTATTTCTGAAAGTAAAACTTGCCATAAATTAGAAATTGATTTCCCAAAATAAAGTCCTTTTTTGTATGATGGTATACAGTTTTCAGTAATGATGTATACATTGTATTGATTTTTTCCCTAAATGTGTTATTTTAATAAATATCTCATGAATAAGTTTCAATTTTTTTATTTTGGAACAAATGGAATTCTGTTTATTACTGAATGACTAGATATGCTGAGAGAAAATGCCAGCAATTACTTACTATAATCCAGTATTTATATGTGTGATTCTCTGTGCTAACAGCTGAGAAGGCTTTCTGGGTTGTCTACATATGGTATGTTCCTTTTTTGAATTCTCATAGTTGCTACCTGTTGTGTCGTATTTCTTACAAAATCTGAGCGTTAGGACTGGGTCTTACTTATCTGTATGTGCCTTCCTTATGCTTCAAAGACTTTACCATCTAGTGGAAGACAGAACACTTGCAAGCTGGCTGCACACCATCCTACTCATCTGAACTTTGACTGCAGAATCTCTAAATTGCATCCCCATACACTGAGGTCAAGAAAGAACTTGTTAATGGGAAATAATCTCTACCCGTTAGCTTTCCTCCTCCATCAGGATTGCTGTATCTAATGTAATGGACTCTTGTCTGTTCACGTGACCTTTGACACAGAGATGCTGTCGACCATCCTTCCACTCAGAACCTTGCTTCCTACTACTGCAAATCCTTTTCTGATTGTTTTCGTTTGTTATTTTGAGTCTTTTGGGTTTTTTGATTTTGTTTTAATGGGTTTTGTTTTGGTTTTGTCGAACTTTTTGCTTTATGGAACTTTTAAGTCATGTTTTGTAGGACTTTCTACTGAGTCCTCTACTTAATATATTTTCCCTGGCTTGAAACCCAGAAAATGGATCTGACAATAGCTTCAAATACCAACAGACTGATAAATGGCTAAGTTCCTCAAAGCCAGACTTAATTCTAGCCTCAATGCCCATATACCCATTAATGAGTCTGCTTCCTAGGCTATTAGACAAACATCTTAAAATGACAATACGTTTAAGTAGTAATGTTCCCCCCTCGTAACTACACATGTGTTCCTTATTCATGGGATCCCTCAGATACAGACGGCTCAAGTTGATTGTTAATGCTATTTCTGAAGGTAAGAGATGGGATTATTTCTGCAACACCCTATGTTTGTGTTACATTTGCTGATTGAGGAGTGCTGTGAGATTATCCTCATCACCCTAGTGACTGCAGTGACTCCTCTGTGCCTCCATTGTCTCCTTTACTGGTACTGCCTATGTGGCCTTAGAAAATTCAAATCTGATCACTTTTTCCCGCTTGAAATGTGAGTACTGGATGATGTCCAAATTCAGCATAGCTAGGTCCATCTGTAGCATTTCCAACATAGGAAATTGTTCTATCCCATAGCATCTTTCAAAACCCGTCAACCTAGGAAGGCCTTCAAGTCCTCATTACTCAGTACTTTCCCTTCAGAGTTGAGCTTGAGCTTTGAAGTGTTCTGAAAATCCTATGATTTCATTTCCTTACCACTGATTACTATTTGGATTTTTGAGATAGGTTGTCCCTTTATGGGCCAGATAACCAAACTCAAAACCCATTCTGGCCTTGAACATGAATCCTGAGAACTGGGCATGGTACATCTGGTGGGGAGGAAACGTGTCTTCATTGTTTGATGCTAATTGCTGAATGAATGGGTAAGGGAATGGATGAATTCAGTGTGCACTACAGGAACATGAACTAGTCCTAAGAAGTGGGGTATAATTGAGGAAGGTCTTCTCAATTGTCGGTTCATGGTCCACAATGTCATGAGTTCAAATCTCATCGAGTCGAGTAACTATGTAAAATATGTATTTGGGTCTTGACACATGTACAAACACAAAATCTTACCCAAAGTGATGTTTTGTTTCAGTTTCATAATGTTCTAAAATATTGATAGGGTGTTCATTTTGTCACCAGTTTTCAGAAAGGAAATAGTCTTACATGGTAAACAGAAAATATTAGAAATAAGGGGTAGTTCTTCATAATTCTGTACATAGAAACACATGGAAAGGGCTTATAAAGATACTATTGTAATATCCCAAAAGACTTAAAAATAACCAAGTTTTGGAACTATCTTAATGGGAGAAATTGCTAAGTCGACAATACTTTGTAGACATTTAAGTTAAGAGCATAGATTTGGTTTTTGAAGGTGTGTTTTGCTTTTTATGTTATTTTTGGGTTTTGCCATTTGTTTTGAGACAGGGTCACATGTAATCCAGGCTTTCCCTGTACTTGCTATGTAGCCGAGGTAAGCCTTGAATACCTGATCCTCCTACCTCTACCTCCCAAGTGCTGGGATTACAGGTGTGTGCCACCGCTGGGGCCCATAACTAAGTCTAGATTTAAAATAATGCTAAGACTCCCCTACCACTGTTTTCTTTGGCATCTTATAAATGTCTTGTAGATGGAATCTAGCATCACTGGTATTTGTAAATAAATCAACTTTGTGAACATTTTGGCTCTCCTTGATTTATGCAAAGTAGGAACACTGAAACCCTTTCACCCTTTGACACTCAGGGCTGAAAATGTAGCATGGTTCATTGTTCCATGCCTGCGCTGGGGTAGTATAATCAGCATCACTGTACCCTCCTTTATAGGGTAAAAGAAGACCCAACTCAATTATTTACACCATCACTTAGGGCATTACGAGTGTATCATTGGGTTAAGCAGCGCCAAGCCAGGGACTGTTTGATGCCGGGGGTTGGTAATTGGATACAAGACTTTACATAACTTGATAGAACTGTGACAGCTCCTCAACAGCTGCTGTTGGAATTGATCCCGCCTGCTCTGTGTGTGTGTGTGGGGGGGGGGCATGTGTCACACACACACCTGCATGTGTCTGACCCTTAAAGAAACCTAGCTTGTGTTGGACTTTATAAAATTCTACCTATTTTCTACTAGCAACCTTGGGACAGAAATTGAACCTACCAAGAAAACTGTTAAGTAAAATCAGATCATTCAGTTTCTGGACTTATTGGATACTGGATTAACAGATAAGAAGGACTCTTGCCTTGGTTTCTCTGTTTGGATAGTAAATCATATAATATCCTTGCTGGATTAATAAAGACTTAAATACTGATAGGGTAGTGAGAGCATGTAGATTTACGTTACGACAAACTTTAGAAATCATGTAGTTAATGTGTTTTACTACACTTGTGTCAGGGAGTTTCTAGGTAGCATTAGCTACTGTGAAATGCACACAAAAATGGTGTCTTTGGGGCGGGGAGTAGTTCAGTGTTAGGTGCATACTTCTGAATGATTCAAATTTGGTTCCCAGGACTAATTTCACTCTATAGCACTTACTAAGGAGAGTTGAAATTTACCTATTTTTAGCGAACTCTTACCACCTCTATGGCTTGGACTGTATCACATTTACCTTTCTGTCTCTAGTACTTAACAGAATTCTTAAAGTGGTTTTTTTAACTGAATCAACGGCAAGAAAAATACTAGCAGATTCACGGCGAGTAAGTGCAGTATGTTCTTCACATTTATTCCAGATTGCAAACTGGATTTGGTTACTCTACTCGTCAGCCACAAGGGGGCTCCTGGCACCCATGCATTGATCCTCCCTGGGACTCAATGAGTATCACATTTTACCAAGCCCAATTCCAATACAGAGGCCAAGCAGCTTGTTCAAGATGAATGGGTCATTGGATTAAAACTTAATGTGAGAACATCTGAGTGTGCCTTTGATACAAATACAATGCCTTTGTCATACGGTGTAGAAGGCTGGAAGCTTCAGAAGCCGACTCGGGAATTCAGCAAGTTGGCTTAAAGAACATATACGGTTCCCAAAATAGGAAGAGCATGTGCCATTCCCAAAGTACTTTGATGTCACTGATGTATAACCAGAAAGGGAAATAGATTTTAATTCATTACCCTGTGTATGTCTCACAGTGGAGGAGATAAACGTGGGGCCTCGTGCATGCTAGGTAAATGCTTACTGCTGAACTACATCCCCAAGCCCAAAAGTCTTAACAAATGAAATGAGAATGTTTTCATTGTTCCCAGAAGAATAATGTTTCCTTTTTATTCTCTGTTCTATTTTACAGAGAAAAAATACAGAGCATATGTAATCCCCAAAACTTGTGGACATGCGCTGATGTGTTTTACAATGACAGTAGTAATCAGAAAGAAATCAGAGAATCAAGGCACGTGGCATCTGTACTCATGTTGCAGTGTTCCGTTAGAGTGTTTCTAAGTGGAGGAGCCGGTGCCATATTTATTGCCTGGTTTGACAGTGTGCTTAAACCACCAGAATTAAGTAATAATAAATGACTTTCATTTGGCCTAGTTTTATTGTTGAGGACATATCCTTCAAAATGTATCCCTCCTAGAAAGTTACCTATATCAAAGTTGAACTTTGACAAGGTAAGAGCCACAAAAAAAGGATAATTAATAAATGTCCATAGGACTATAACTTGGTTGCTTGCAGAAGTCTGCGGTGGAGAAGGGCTGTCGCTTCATGTCAGACAGAAAAGGGACAGGGACCTCTCTCCTCGAACTAGGCTCCCCATTCAGAATTCTCCACCACCTGCCGAAATAGAGACAAAGCATTCAGTATATGGGCCTGTGGGAGCCATTTAATGTTCAAAGTATAAGAAATTTGGATTAAGTGTGCTGGGTAGTTTTTGTTAGCCTGACAAAAACCAAAATCATGTAGGCCAAAAAAGAAATCTCAGTTGAGGAATTGCCTCCAACAGTTGGTTGATTGACTTGTGGGCATGGTGGTGGGACCTTTTCCTGACTGAAGTTTGATGTGAAAGGGTGCAGCCTACTGTGCATGGTGCCACCACTGTCAGGTGGCCCTGAGAGGTATAAAAAAATGTGTTTGACTGTGAGTGTGGTGAGTCAGTGAGTGTCTTTCCTTCATGGTTCCTGTTCCTGCTCCTTCTTGAGTTTTTGTCGTAACTTCCCTCTATGACGGACTGTGGTCAGATACATAGGCCAAGCAAACAGTTTCATTCCCATGTTATTTTGGCCATGGTGGGTTTATCACAGCAATAGAAAGCAAACAAAGATACAAACTGGTAGCAGAGAATGGGGTCTTGCTGTGACCTACTTGATCATGTTGGCTTCAGGGACAACTCTAGAAGGAGTTTAGGACTTTGGGCTGGAAAAGCAATTGAGTGGTCCAAGTTTAATGAACTGTTCTTGGAAGCTGATGATGCTGAGAGCAAAGCAGACAATGGCGGCCTGACATGAATTTTAGGAAGAAGTTTGAGAGTCCCTCAAAAGTTATCAGGGGTTGTTTGTGTGATAATTTGATTTAAGATTAAATCTGTTGTTTCTGGTCAACTAGACTTGGATAATCAGCTATGCTTAACAAGAGACCGGTGCCACTGAAATGAGACCTTTGATTTCCTGGGACAATCGGTACTGGTAAGCTGGGCAGGAAAAACCAGTTGCAACTAGAAAGAGACCAGCATCATTAAGGCAAGATCTCCCAGGAAGTATTTCCTCATAGCCTACACACAGAAGAGCTGTGGTCAAGAGGGGCTCAGAGCTGCATCTCAAACAGGCAACCAGACTTGGTAATGACTAAGAGTCTTTTACATGGTACCAGTTTTGGCAACACGGAGTCTGTAGTATTGAAAGAATCATAGAAAGAAGCTGAGGATCTGCACTGCAGATGCCAAGAAAGGACATCAGTGAAGGCAAAGCCTCTTCGTAGTGAAGACCCCAGCGTATGGATATGCCAGTACTCTGAAATGACCACCAAGGACAACAGCAGGTAAGTAGATAGGCCTGACCATATCTATATCAATGTGGATGACAGAGCCATAGAGGTAGGGCTATCCAAGATCTTTTGGTCCAAAACTATCATGGATGAGTCCCAGATACTGGACATTGAGCTATTTACACTGTTGGATGCTGTCAGCTTGGCTTGGCTCTGGCTGGCTATCCTCTCAGCCTTCCCTCTTGGAAGAAGAAAGTATACAAATTGTTCTTTCTATTTCAGGAGTCCACGCTGATTTTTGTTTTTGTTTTTTTGGTTTTTTTGGTTTTACGAGACAGGGTTCCTCTGTATTGTTTTGGAGGCTGTCGGTCCAGCCTGGCCTCGAACTCACAGAGATCCGCCTGCCTCTGCCTCCCGAGTGCTGGGATTAAAGGCGTGCGCCACCACCGCCCGGCCCATGCTGAATTTTTAAAGAGAATGTTGGAACTGTTAAAGTGCTGTGGGACTTGAAACAGTTTTATGTTGTGATTTTTACCGTGAGACATTGGGGATAAACAAGGAAGGAAAAGGTATGGCTGAGTAGAAATATATCTGTGTATGAAGTTGAGAGTGGATCTGTTGTGGTGTGTGCTGGTCAACTTGACAAAACTATAAGTCGGCAGAGAAAAAGGAACCTCAACGCAAAATTGCCCCCATCACGCTGGCCTGTGGGCACGTCTGGGGAAGGTTTTCTTGATTGCTGATTTACGTGGGAAGGATCCGTGATTTGTCTTGTAATTAAATTCGTTCTTTGACAACTTCGAGCATGTATGTAGTGAGTTACACTTTGTCTCACCCTCAACCATCTCTCTTATGCCTCTGTAATCTTCCTGCTTCTTTCTCACAGACCCCCATCCCCACATGTGTGCGTTTCTGTTTTCTTATGACCCCTGTCTTAACCAGGACTATCTGTGTGGCCACGAGACTGGAAGTATGGATTGGAGATTGGTGGTCTCCCTCCCTTTGGTGCACAGCTAAAGACAGTGACTGATCATCCCTCAGAATCCATCAGTTGCCAATAGTTCATCAGGTAGGAATAGGGTTCCATGAGTCCTCTCCCAGGCCATTGCTTGTTTTGTGAATGAACACAGTCTTGTGCAGACCCAGTATAGGCAACCACAGCTTCTGGGAGATCATGTTTGAGATGGCTGTCATGTTCTGAAGATAATTATTTCCCTATCCTTCTTCCTACTGTCTTTGTCTTGCTTTAAAATTCTTCTTTTCCCATCACTGTCTCAAACCACAAGTAGCACACGAGACACTATATTAACTATGAAGCTGTTGGCTGCTTGGTATAGTTTCTTAATGACTAGCTCTGACTTAATGATTAACCCATAATTACTAATAAATATTTTTATAAGGTCTTATCTTACCGAGGACACAACCTCTTCCCAAGATCACATGGCAACTCTCTACCCTTGACTGCATTTCCCAGAATCCTCCTCAACTCCTAGTCCCACCTATCTTGCTTCCCTATTGGCCAACAGTGCTTTATTTATCAACCAATAGGACAACATATACACAGAAGGAATTCCCTCATCATTCCCCAGTATCATTTTCTGAATAAGGCTACCTTTGGTCTAATGTACCCTTTTGGTCTCTGTCAAAAGTTAAGCAGTGATACCTGCAAAGGTTTATGTCTAGCATCTTTTTCTGTATCTATGTGGCCATTTTTGTTCCAGTACCATGCTGTATTTATTTTCTTTGAACTCTTCATTTTGGGCAGATGGTAAT